TCTAACTTTCAAGGCAGAGTTTAAATGGTTTAAATAATTTTTATGGTAAGCGTTTTTTAGCGAGTTAGTTTTCTACGGGATGGGTTCGCTAACCCCATACCCAACCCTCCTTCTTTACCCGGGCTTGGAACCGGCAATAACTCTAGATGAGCTGCAGACGGAGTGGCTGAACATATTTCTTTTGAATGCAAAGCTCCGGCTATTTGATCCGAATAGCAATTGCTTCAGCCGTCTGTAGGATTTGCAGTCTGACGGAATTAGGTAGACTTCTGTTATTATTATTATTATCGATTATCGCAAAAGATTGTTCCATGTTGGCTTTATATCCTATCCAACTACATGGTCTAAAATGGAGCTGTTGACCGTTTTGACTACACCATTGCTTAACCACACAGGAAGGTGCTCACGAGCCCGAATGTACAAATTCCTAGAACATCTTCCAATATAAATTGCTCCACAGGAGCAGTTGAATTGATAGACACAAAAGAGGTGGCTAGTCTACGTAATTTATCTTTCAACCTTGGATTGATTATTGATCGTGTGGGGAACATTAGTTATAGTTTACTTGTGTTAAAAGTCCTTTGAATTGATCTGCTTAACTTAAGTTTTAGCATTTCACTCGGTGCATCGCCTCTGAATTGTAAGCGTATATACAGAGGCTTTTTATCTACAGTTGGGCATTCTCTATGCTATCTTCTACTGGTTATGTTTTTATTTATAAATTTCTCGGGATATCAATTTTACTTCAGTGTTGTGTACAATACCTTTGTTTCATCTTCAATCGTATCCATAGAGCATATATTCTTGATTCTATGATGCAATGTCTTAATAAGGTTCCTTTTGTATTGTTGCTACCTTGAAGTGGTGGTCGGGCTTGCCTATCGTGATGAAGCAACCGAGCTATACTGGCTGGAACAACCGTTCCTCAAGGTCCTACCATGTTAGACAGGTCGGTTGAAGAGCGGTAAGACTAAAAGCAACAAACCCAAGGTTCGAAGGCGAAGTCGTACTGCTGATGACTGTACAGGTGTGTGACAGCAGTAAGGTGTTTCCTTTAGACAACCAGCATAACAGCGATGCTGCCTCTCCACAAGGAGGGGTGGGGTTAGAAAAGGTCGACCCTAAAAATCCACACCTTGCTTTATCCCACGGATATCCGTCTCCGGCGGTAAGGTCCCAAAAAGTACGGAGCTAACACAAAAATTACCCATAAAAAGGTGTGTGACCGACCTCAAGCAGTTGTTCCTTGGGCACTGCGGTCACGCTCTCAGGTCACTAAGACTACCTCTAATCAAATTTCCTTTTCAGGTACCTCCAGAACAACCCTTCCACGGTGCGGGCAACCGGGAAGTGATAACCGCCCTCATACCTCTAACAGCACTCAAGACCACTGTATTCCTAATCAACCTCCGTCTTCACTTCCTATTATTCCTCCTACATCGACTTTCACCTCTAAACTTCCTTTTTCGGCGTCCTCCTCAAATGTCATCATAGCTAACGATTCTAGTGCTCAAAACACTGTCCCAGGTCCACTGAAACCTCGCTCCAAACTACACATTGGAGCCTTCAACGTACGCACCCTATGTCAAATCGGTCAACAGGCTTCCTTGGCTAAAACCCTAGAGTCTTTTCATTGATGTTTGCTGTGTCTCCGAAACACGCATACAGGATTCCAGTGTGGTCATTCACTTTACCTCACCTCGGCAACACGGAGAGCCAACGAGATACACCCTACGTATATCTGGTGACCCGACGGCCAGTTCTCGTGGACTGGCAGGTGTAGGCATAGCACTAAGCATGAGGGCGGAACAAGCACTGCTAGAGTGGATCCCCGTCAACAGTCGTCTATGTGCTGTTCGGCTAAACGGCTCCGTAAGAACTCGGAAGGATAGGGACACACGTCGTTGCCTTTTTGTCGTTTCTGCCTACGCTCCCACTGACTGCAGCTCAGATGATGTGAAAGATGAATTTTACGGAAAGCTTTCTGAACTTCTTCAGAAAGCTAAACGTTCAGACATAGTACTTGTAGCAGGTGACTTTAATGCCCAGATAGGTATTTTAAACCAAACAGAAAGGCATTTAGGTGGGTATTTCAGTATTCCGGCACAACGAACAGATAATGGTGACCGTCTGCAGCAACTGTGCTCAGACAATCGTTTATTTTTAGCAAACACAAATTTTAAGCATAAGGAGAGACATCGTCTAACATGGCGACCCCCTACACTAAACCAACGATGGACTTAAATAGACCATATTGCCATCAGTCATCGTTGGAGAGGGTCGGTAGAAGATTGTCGCTCATTCTGGAGTACCTGCTTAGACTCCGTCCACGCCCTAATACGGGCACGCATCTGCTTGCGCCTCACTCGATGCAAAAAAGTCACAGTAAAAAGACCCGTTAGAACTGAGTTGAGTAACGAGAAAACCAAAAGTAGGTTCCAGGAACAACTGAGGTCACAATTAGGTAGTTCTGAAGACGAGGCTGACCCAGATGTTGCTTGGGAAGATATACAAACAGCTGTGGAAACAGTAGTGACATCTATCAGTGTTTTAAACCACAGGGTTTCAAAGAACCAATGGATTTCCTCAAGGTCTATTGCACTGATGGATTCTCGTAAACTCATCCCATCAGGCTCTGAACACGATGAAGAGCGACAACAAATCAGATCTAGGTTAAGAAAAAGTCTAAGGAACGACCGTGAGCAGTGGTGGGCAACGAAAGCAAAAGAGATGGAAAAGGCGGCGACTATAGGGAACACTAGACAGCTCTATAGACTAATAAAAGAAACTGGAATTAATAAGTCAAGTGTAAGTGAGATTATTTCGGAAAAAGACGACACCCTCATCTGCTCCCAGTCCAGACGTTTAGAACGGTGGGCGGACCATTTCAGAGGACAGTTCAGCTGGCCTTCAGCTACTCTACAACTACCCTCCATTCCCAGACAGTGAATGGAACACTGAAGTAGGTCCCCCAACTCTTGCTGAAGTTCAAAAGGCTATAGTTAATCTGAAACGAGGAAGGGCAGCTGGTCCGGATGGATTGGCTCCAGAGGTCTTTAAGGATGGTGGTTCAATTTTAGCGATTAGTTTGACTAATATTTTAGCTAAGATCTGGGAGTTAAACGTTATTCCATCTGACTGGTCACAATCACTTATCGTCCCAATATATAAGAAAGGGTCAAAATCATCCTGTGACAACCACAGAGGGATTAGTTTAACAAACATAGTATCTAAAATACTGGCCTCGATAATTATCAGACGCTTAACTAAGACTCGTGAACTGCAAAAACGAGAGAATCAAGCTGGCTTCAGACCTGGTCGTGGCTGGATCGACCACATATTCACCATTCTTCAGGTTCTAGAACATAGGCATACTTACCGGCGTCCGACAATGGTGGTCTTTCTCGACTTAAAGGCAGCATTTGACTCGGTAGACGGCGAGATTCTGTGGCAGTGTCTGTCATTGAAAGACGTACCTCAGAAGTACATAAACCTTGTGAAGGCTCTTTACCCGAACACTACCAATCGAGTCAGGGCTTATGGCGAACTGTCATCTGCTTTTGCAATCTCAAGTGGTGTCCTCCAAGGCTGTCCACTTTCTCTGTTTTTGTTTAACTTGATCATAGGCCTATTGATGGAAATGACATTCTCGTCTACTGAATTCTCGGGTATTGACCTCCTACCAGGAGGTCCACTTATCGACTTAGAATACGCAGATGATATAGTCCTGATATAGTCCCATGTAAATTTTATGGACGGGTGAACAGTATTGAAACGCTCTAGTGTTTCTAGGAAGTCCGTCTGGTTGTTACAAAGGATGTATCATCCATGTATCGGCAGTAAAATGAAAACTTATCGATCTCTTGTGCTAGTGGGCCGTTCTCTAGTTTAGAGAGGAAAATGTCTGCCAATATGGGACACAGGGCTGAACCCATCGCGACACCATCTATTTGTTTGTAGATTTCACCATTGAATTTGAAATGTACAGTCATAGTACATTTTAGTAATAATTCTTTGATGATCTTCACAGGATTGTCGTTTCTATTTCTTGTTCTCTAAGTTGTTCACAAATATATTCAACAGCTTCTCTGAGTGGAACATTTGTGAACAATGATGTTACGTCAAAGGACATCATCGTTTGATCTTTCGTGTTTATGTTTCTTATCTTGTCGACGAATTGAAATACATCCTTAATACTATGTTTGACCAGGCATTTATGGAGAGGTTTCAAAACGGTTACTAATCACTTTGCTACAGTATGATATGGAGAATCGTATTAGCACTTGGTCTAAAATTCTGTGATACGCGAAACCGCATACGGATATCCAATTTGAAAACCTAAATCGTCGTTTTGAAACAGTTAACAAATTATCAGAAATCATGCCACTTGATTTCGAAATTTTTGAAATAATCTAAATAGCAAGATATGTAATGGACACTTTTGGTTGCAGCGTCAAATAATAGTTGTTAATTCTTTGTGAGTAAAGAGCAGTTTTCCAAAGCTTTTAAATATTTCTTTATCTAATATTTGCTAAGTACGATACACTGTTGAAGGTATTTTTATTAATTTTTTTGGAAGTATACAATATAAGTAGATTTATCCTAAAGGAATGCAAAATTAATGAAACGTCTCTTGATTTATCAACACATTCATGAATCTACCAACATCAATATTAATATTCAGGGAAAAATTGATTCTGAACTGAAATTACCTATAAGATTTTAACATTTTATCACTAATAACTTAATGACTGCAGATATAGCGAAATAATTCTGGTATTTTTTGCAGAACTATTTCATTCACTTTTATTTTATTAACTCGAATAAATTTTTCTTCATTATCAAACCTGATTTCCTGTTCTTCCATTTAAGATAATGAACCAGAAAATAAATTATCATTTATCGTTTCATATCCCTTTAAGTTTCGTGTTGATTGTAGATTTTCGACTTATCACTTGTAATTGATTTTTTACGTTTTGTTTTTTACTTCTGTGTTTCAGACGTCAGCACGCTGATATCGTTCAATATTTAGCAAATAGAAGCAAGGTAAATATACTTGTCATACTTTATTCCTGTCTTTTTTGTTTGAATCTTCTCATTGATGTTTAGGACTGCAATTGATCAGTCTCTTCTTGACTCATGTGCATCCTGTACGGATTGCCTGGATATTTCTTTGAGTCACAAGTATTATAAGCAAGAATGGATGGTGTTAAGCAGTGGAAGATTCAAACAACCAATACAAGGATGAATTAAACTTCACTCCATTGCATAAGCTTGTGAGTATATGGACTCAGGAGTTAAGTGGATAACGCAATGCGTTCGAGTCTCGGAGTGAACGTAAACTCTGGATTGCAGGTACATCTACATCCAGCTGACCACTCCCAAATAGGACGAAATGCACGTCCTAGATCTCATTGCTAGTTACCATCCACATCTACTTATAATACTTTTACATTTTTATGATTATGTATTACATTTAATCAGTTAGATAACTAATAAATCTATAGATGACTTTTGTCAGTTTTCACTGTCACAGTTAATTAATCTATTAATTTTGAAGAAATGTTAGAAAAGTACATATATAATATCTTGATGTATAAACTCTCGTTTGTGATGTAAATTATAGATTATAATCATATATTGAAAGATGATGAAGATTTACAACTTGAATGATTTATTCTTTCAGAGAAGTGGTTTTCAGTTGCGAGATTTTTCTTGTTCTTAATGATTTTGTCGTTATAATATGAATATTTTATTTAAGCTTTAAATAAGAACATTTAGAAGGTACTTTTGATATGAAAGTGAATCAACACGACTTAATACATCGAATGGTTAATAGATAAGAAAACATCAACGATGATAATCGTACTCGAATGAGAAACGAAAAGACAGAAATTTTTACAAACGTATCATACTTCAAGAATAGTCATTGGGATAAATAAATATCAAAATGTTATAGTGTTGTACAACACAAAGTAGCAAATAAAGATGTATGTCAGTTACATGATGGTGCCAGATTACAAAGGTCTTAATATGTCAAAATGTAAAAGGTTCTGATGTTAACTAATATCGTTCCAACTTCAAAAGCTACCAAAATACTGATTTCAGTCAACGCTAACAAATGACCAGAATAGCAATGAATTTTTCACCCTTAAACTGTTTCACTTAGTGAATACAGTACTACCAAGAGATCATGTTTATTATAGATTCGTGACTTTAATTAATAGCATAATTTGTTGGTTAGCTAAATGATTCTGTTTCCTTATTTTACGTAAAATTCTTATTCGAGCAAGTTATTTAATGAGATATTCAGCGATTATATTGTTATATCTATGATATGTAGAAAAATTAATAAACTTAAAAGAATAGATGCGTATTAACTAGATTATCGAGTCTGATGAAATATTTATTCGTTAATTTTCATCCAGAACTATTTGAACTGAATGTAAAATCTGGTAAAACCCATTAATAAAATCAAATTTTTTAAGTAGAAATAGCAAAATAGATTTATTGGCTGTTTTAATTGAAGCAAGAAGTCGAATTTATAAAGCCTAACTGATTCAAAAAAGGTTTAGATGAATAATTCATGTACAGCCGAAGCTTTAACAATTCACCATTTCAAACTCAAACTAATCCTAATCACTTTAATTTAATTGCTACTCGTAATCTATAGAAGATGCTTACGATAAAATATGCTAATTCTTAAATGTTCTTAATCATAGGAGCAACAAATCGGTGCACTAAAAGAAGTAAGTTAATCACTTATAAATTTACATTTATTTGTTATTCATCATTCTGCTATAACAAAGTAGCTTTCGCTTATTGTATTGGTTTAGTAACTTGAAGAGTAAACTTAAATATGATTACTGTTCAATTGCAATAAACTTATTTCTAAGATTGGTGAAACGTTAAGTTTCTTCCAACTCTCAAAAGCAATCTTTAATTAACAAAATTTCAATCTTCTGTTATCGTATTTCTTGCAATCTAAACTTCTTCATGGTTATCTGATATGGATATGCTGGAAAATTCACTGCTCCTAATTTTCACTTTTATTAAGATAAGTGAATTAAACAAAGTTACAAAGATAACGCATAAGATTTGGTAGAGAGGTTTTATAGAGATCAGAATTATTTGTAGATAGTATTAGATACGAAGTGACTTCAGTTGGGATATCAATAAAAACTTGTGAACAATAAACAGCTGTCTATTCTCAATATGGAATTCCTTAACAGTACAGACTGGTGATCCTGACAAAAGTTTAACCTATCCCTAGCTTCTCACATTCTAATCTCACTTCTTTCTTCAGAACTGTAGTTATCATGTTTCAATATCTGTCAGAGGTGAAATTAATTTCTCTCCTTTTCTTGTCATCTATTTAACTACTTTTCTCATATCGATTTATGACTTGTCAAAGTTAGGTTTAATACAGATTCGTACAACGTCCTATTAGCTGCCGTTTATAATTTAGAATAATTTAATTAAAAATGGCATTTTTTAAAATTTTATCATTATCCTTCAATTAATTTATTTGTTTTTAGGATTATTCGAAAGTCGAAAAACCTGTTAAATCGTTAAGTGAATCTGAAATAGAATGTTTAGAAGTCCCGAGTGATTTAGCTTATATCTTACAACATCGTAAAATATGTAAGTTATCCGTTTCTCTTGTTTTTCATATTATTTTATTATTAATCCGTATGTAATGTTTTAATTTATTGATGTGATTATACTATCTACCACAATAATACTTTCAGTGAAAATAGTCAACGCGTATACATACCATATTAACTTGATAATTCATGTTATTTCAAATGGAATTTGTTTATTAATCAAGTTTAATATGCGGTAGTGTTTATGAATAATAAATTTAATGGTTTCCGTAAGTAAATGACTAAAAGACTTATCAAATGAAAAAGTTGCCAAATATAACAGTATTAAATTAAATAACATATAGCAAGGGTGGTAGTTGAATGATATTATGAATATAGTGTGCAAAAAAGAACGGAAATAAATCTATTAATAAGCTGGTAAAGGTTGCCTTAGGAGTACATTACGTTTTGATGTTGGGACCTACTCTAAAAATCACCGGAAAGTTGCTTTGATTTTTTTAAATAATCAGAAACATTTAAGTTTTCAATAATGAATCTGTGTGATCTCTTGTTTACTCCTTTACGTAACGAACCATATGTATTAACAAACCTGTTTACCTAAGAAGTAATTCGTTAGTACATATGAAATATATTATTTGTAATTTGACATAATGTTCTTACAAAGAATAAGGTTTTAAATGGCTTCTTTCGACAATATTTAATATCAATCAAGTTAATGGTCATACCTAATATTTCATGTTTAATTGTAAAGTTAGGTTCATTTCAGTTTTGTTTAAATTGTTTTGTAGTGTCTTAGCCTCGTTAATCGATCACCATGATGATCGTTATTATAAAAACCCCAACGGTGTTTGAAATCAGTAGGCAATAAGAAGCAGAGACTACAGTGTATTAGCGAATAGCACAGACAACCAAGTTATAAAAAACATCTAGTGAATTTGAAGCAGAGAGGCAAATATGTGTGTGCGAGCAAATATAGTCAAACCGAATAAGGCGCAGCTAGGCAAGACAAAGGCTAATAATATGATTCGAGTATACATACACATGTGGAAGAGAATGATTCATCAAGCGATATTTTAAGTGATCAACACTTTAGCTAGAGTCTGTCATGTGATCAAGCGTACACGTTTATACAAATATGGTAGTGGTCATACTAGTACAAAGAAGTATGCAAATTGCTACCGTTTGGATAACATTGTTAAGCTCATAAGAGGGCTTAACCAAGATTATTAGTTATTTTATATTGAGATCATGAACCTATCAATGTTAGACCACCACTGAAAACCTGGAAGCATTTGACCGCCGTTTCATAATAGCAAGGGACTCCTCGTCAGTGCACATCCATGATCATGACGAGAAATCATAGTTTAGATTTATTGTCAGTTGCTTTTTGTAATTCACTTATTTTACGGTCAAATTTATTTTTAACAATATAATTATTCAGAGATTTATGTTTAAATCTTTTGTATAAAAATATCAATAATAATGTAGCCCAAGAATGTTGGCTTCGTAATCATAAGGTAATTAAACCTTCCGGCAGTATACGTCGTTTTGCACCAAATTATGTTTCAACTTCTTGGCAAAAATATGGTAGACCGTTATGGCATGCTGCACCTATTTCACACTTGCTACAAACATCTAGTTCAATGGTACGCTGCGAATTGTAATTTTTTAATCTCAAATATTATGTAATTTCAAAAAACGTTTCTAGTTATCTAGTATATTTGAATGTATACTTCATTATTATGAAAAAACGTTATATTCTTACAATTGAGATATCCATCTAATGCATGAAAACGAAAGACAAAACACTTTTATGCTAATTATATCCAATCGTTTCTATTTTGCATACAATGTGAACTCGGTTTCAGCATATGAACTTTAGTTTGTTTTTCGATATCTGTTATGCTAAGTGGTGTAGTGAATGTAAAATATTAGCCAACTGATTATGATCTTTATCATCTAGAATATGTATAAATACCAAACTTACTGATATGGTTGAAATTTTACTGTGCATGTAGTGTATACTTCATAAAATTATCAAGTGTATGAAATGTACAGTGATATAGGTAATTTGTTACGTGAACGTATAATTGCATCATCTTAAAAGTAACAATTTAGTCCATTGAATGTAGCTGCGCAAAGTGATGAGAAATTTGATTATATATAGCAGTGAAATGAGAAGACGGAAACGTTTTTGGACTTTTCTTTTACAATATTAATCATTACATAACAATGATGCAATGCTATTGTAACATGTATTTAGCAATAAAGGCGTTCGAGCTATTTACAACCGACTTACTTAGACCCGTTATTTGTCTCGAGGCACAGATAACCGGCCAATGTTCTACAGACAACTCTGTCCTGTGTTCTCTTCACTAGTTGTTCGCAGCTGCCATTCATTCTCTTGCTTTTTGCCTCCACTTCCTGGCCAAATGTATTCTTTGTCTGCCTCTTCTCGTCTTGATCTAAAGATTTCAAGTTGGGGCTTGCTTCGTGGTTCAGCCTGATGATTTCCATAAAGTGTGTGACCTTAGTATTTCTAGCGTCTTTTTCTGTTTTGAATGATGTTTTGATGATTCTGGATCAATGAGATTCCCATTCCACAAGTACTTTTTGTGCTTCCTTGGACAGCATCAGCGCAACTCCTTATGTGTGTAGGGGATTATTATCATGATCATAATACAAAAGTCCCTCCACCAAAGCTGATCTTTTGTTTTCAGATTGTATACAATCGGTTTCGCGTATTCCAACTGCCACCAGGTTGTACATTTTCGTTTCTACCGCTATTGGAATGATCATTCCAGTTTCCTTCATCCTCTGAACATTCCACGTGCCTATATTAGTTGTTTCTATAGTATTTATTACCACTTTTGTTTTTGTTGTCATTGTATTCCTCTCCGATTTAATCATCTCTTAATAGTCACAACTTGGCTATCGTGTTGCGCCACGTGAAAGACCAATATTCTTGACTCGACCAACTGAAAAATTAGCTGCAGCTTGTGTAGCTGCTTCAAAACTTGTAAGTTGAATATTAAATAAAGGTTTTATTGATTATTAATACCATTCGTTTGTTTCCAGTTTATCAAGTTGATTGTTAAACTTTTTTGGATATCAGCACTTTCTTAGTGCTGACTGTGCTTTTTTATACAAGTAGGGAATTTGATTAACTAATTTAAGAATATCAACATTTTCCAGTAACCCATCTTTTACTTACCGTTGCTTTATTGATGTTGGCTTCGTTGATAACTCGAAGACATGTATAAATACCTGGGTGTAGCCAAGTTGACAATCTATCTGGAATGGTTTGTTTATCCAAGGGATTTACTTGTTCTGAAATGTCTACATTGAATTTTCGGCGAGACTACAATTTATGGACGACATTTGGACGAATCTTGAGTGACCTGGAGAAACATTAACCAATCAGCAAACACTCAGTACAGAGTAAAAATATATTATACAAAACCAAAGAAATAAAGTGGATGCACTTCTTGTACATGGTTCAAAAACTTGTCAAGGTTAGGAAGAGGTTCAGAAGTTCTAAAATCGTAATGCATGCAGCATAGGAAATCATACATATGGCTACAGAATAGTCGGCCTCTGGAGCCATGATAACGTTGCAAAAACTCTTTCAGCCTCGACAACATAGCTTCAAAATTGTTTGTGTGCACTCTGGTTGTTGAGTACACTAAATGCCACTTGTGGATAACGACACGACACACATAACCAAGCCTGGGTAGAAGTCTGTATGCTCTCTAACCATCCGTATATATTGTAGTACCTGGCTGTAGTCAGTGTTATTATTGTCCAGTTCGCAATAATTGTCATAATTTGCCTTAGTTACGAATTATATATAGGGTATTCATCACGAACTGACATCAGCTATAATGCCAAAACTCGACATAGCCAAATGGATGAAAGATCTGTTATCTTATACCTGATTGACTCATCCACAAATTATAGTCCCACCATTTTATTTGTTATTGCCACTCAATTATCACGTTTTGTATATAATCCCCTGTGCACCAATCGTAAGTTAGCATTAATGTGTGGGCAAGAATGATAATGAATGGTTGTCTGCTGAGTCAGCCGTGTAGATAATCTGACGGGTGTTAGATAAGTTGAATATTCCCCTATACTTTTTATTATTATCGTTGATTGTTCATTGTTGTTGGGTTGTGTCGGTTTTCGGTGTGGAAGTATGTTTACGTTCTAGTCAGCCTAATCGCGTAATCTTTATCTGAGTCGTGTTGAAGTCCTGTAGAATAGACGCTGAGAGGGAATCTAGTATAGATATCCGTCTAAGGTAAATTAACGTCCCATACGTGTAAATGTGGGAAACTCAATCGTTATAACAAACATTAAGTACTGAAGTTGGCTCTGTGACCCTAAAATCCCTCAAACGCTCCTGATTGGCTCGTCCATAAATTATAGTCTCGCCGAATTTTCACTTCATTATCAACTGTAGGCTTCACCCTTCTAGATCATTGTGCATTCCATCCTTGAGACTATCATGGTAGTGATAAAAATTATTATCTAGTGTGTTGATATAGTATAATTTGAGCCGAACATCATAACGGCGTGGTTGTGCATTCTTTCGGTTTATTCACCTATATGTTTAAAATATTCCATAATCGTTCATTTTTTATTGCCTGTCTAGTCTTTGTTTAGTAGTAGATCGTTTTTTGATTACGTCCTCTCTACGCAGTCAATGTTTTATTATGTATTTTGTTTACACTATGGTATATCTTTGTGCGTAAGTCTTTATGTGTAGCATCAGTTGTAATGGACATTTTGATCCCATCGCGGCCAAACAGAAGCGTTTCTAGATATTCTTCTTACGAAGAGACAAGATAGACCTTTAAGAAGGAAGTTAAACAAGAAAGTACTAAGACAAGACAATACACAACTTCTCCTAGTCTCGTTTATCCTTATGATCATGATCATACGCTTTTCAGATAGGGTTGTATGAAGAATTCTCTGCATAATACTCTAGAAGACAATCGGTACGACTCAGCGAAGTCAATGAACGACCACTTACTTACGAAAGTGAAACAACGGGAATTCCAAACAGTATATAAAAATTTCTGTTTTTGCATTTGCTATTCAGAAGTTATGCATCCAGTGAAATATTAATGCTTCGGTTGCATAGAACAACTTAAAGAACACCCATTGCAGGAAATCTACTGTTACGGTTTTTTACGCGTCCGAAAATCTTACCAAATGTGACAGATAAATCGGCTTAATGAACAATCTCTTTTTTATCTATAAAATCAGCCGTTCAAGTGGATCATGTTACATTATGAAATGTTTAGTGGATGTAATTTTTGGTAGTCGCGAAGACCTTCCAGCATGCAAATGCACCATTAAAACGGTCAGTAGCTAGATATTCGTCAAGATGCCTGGAGAGATCGTTCTCAATAGTCTTTTGGTTAGTAATTTCCTCTTCAAATACATCAAACTAAGAGTCCTCCAAACGGGAGAAGCTTAAGTAATATATGCTAAAAAATCGGAGCTACGAACAACCTTAGCCCAACTCAATATTCCGCTCATTATTAAGATGACCTAATTTAATTAATGTACATTTTGCAATTCCATTCCGAATCGATATGAGCAAATACGAGGCTGAAACTTGTAGAACTACCACAACCATTATCAAATGTTTATAACCAACCAATGAAAAGCTGTGTGCAATAAAATGGCTACATCTTCCTTTTTCTTCACATTGAGATAAACTTTATATCTAAATTACATACATACATTTGTAAAGTAATATGTGTGTGCTCATGTGTTTTACTTTTTTACATTTTCAGATTCTAAGGCTACTATTTTTGCCTGAAATTTCGCTGCATGAACAATTTCTGGTTGGAAGTTTTTTATATCAACTGGTTAGTAAAATTTGTATGTGTTTATGTTGATTTTGGTATTTTTTTCCGATTACCTCTACCCACAGAGCATTCATCCGTATATTGGTGAATTAAAGCATACAAATCGTTTAATATCACTATACACCTGATATGAAAACATTTTTGCATAATTATATATATATATATTGGACTATTCAAGACAACAGAATCAATTTATTGGTTTATGTGAAATCAATACAAAGCAACCGCGTACTTAGATTTGAATGCAGCTTTAATAACGCCAATCGACGTTAGAATGTTTGGTGTATGGCGAAAATGCAACCTAAGACGTGCGTCTTGTCTTATTCAAGACTTTAGGGGAAATACTGAACTGCGCTTTTGTTCATTTGAATGAGCTAGAATTTTTGAGCATTGAGATTTAATAACTCATCAAAGTCACTGTGTTTATGTGGTTTTAGTACATAGGTTCATGTATATATTCTGATATACTGTTTAATATTTCTTAACAGTAATCAAGAATCGCAGTTTTGTGTCTAATTTCTTTGAATATTCTTATTGCACACTTGTTATAGAGTTATCATCAACGGACATAATATCAATAATGAAAGTTATTATGATTGATAATATGATCAGCTTTAATCAGGTGATATTCTCATTTACGATGACGTTCATCTACTTTGAAAAATCACACCAAAATATTTCATGTATTAAATGTTCCTATGACCTTATACTTTCCGTTATTTTAGATCAGCCTGCTTATTTATTTATTTATTAGTTTTTCAATAATCTATTTAATCTATTGTTACGAACTTTTCATTCCTTATGCACTTGCCTACTGATATTAACTACTTACACATTACATTATTTCTCGCATCAGTATAAACTACAATTGTATTTAGTGGAAACACAAAATACATTTGTATCGAATCAATTTGTTTAATTAATTCACATCATTTTATTGAAAACGAATTTTCTTATTAAAACAATAACTTTAAAATAAATGTGAAGTCATTTTTCTCATGAATTATTAAATTGAAGAAGAGATTCGCAAACATGAAGCACCAAACTAATTAATCCTTTTGATTTTTTTCTTCAATTATACATTAAAATTTCTTTCTAATAAATAATCCGTTAGAACAGTAAAATAAACAGTTTAACTATGAGACACTTATTAAGCACTACATAAATTTACAATTAAGTGAGAATGAATAAGGTCAATCTTCGAATAGGTATCTATATAAACAGTATATATACAAGAAACAACTGTTGTAAATATCAAACCAGCATTTTAATGGTGTTTTTGGTTTATTTTGCTGAACTTATACCTGTTACCCCTCGAGGTAGCGCCTAGAACGCCCACCAGCATTATCCTTCGAACTCAGTCCTGGGCAATCCTTTCCAGTTGCTATTCATCCTATTCGTGTCTGCTTCTGATTCCAAGTTAACGCTTGCCTCGTGATGCAGTTGACAATTTCCGTAATGTATGTCTTATCCACTTCCATTGTTTTTTCCTAATTTCCTCCTCACCTGAAAGTTGGTTTGTTCTCTTCTACAGTAGGCTATTACTGATGGTATAGGACCAACGGACATTTTGTAGACAATTGTTTATCAATACTTGTACTTTTTGATGATGGTTGTGGTAGTTCTACAAGTTTCAGCCCCGTACAGTAGAAGTATCTTGACATTCGAATTGAAGATTCTGACTGCTATGTTGGTTGACGGTTTTTTTGAGTTCCATATATTCCTCAATTGTAGAAATGTTGCCCTTGCTTCGCCAATCCTTGCCTTCACGTTTACGCCACACTCTCCTTGTTCATCGATGATGCTGTTGACCAGCTACGAGAAAGTTTCCACCTCTACCAGAGTTTCTCCATCAAGTGTGACTGGGTCGGTGATCTCCGTGTTGTACTTGAGGACCTTGCTCTCTCCTTGATATATATTGAAGCTTCTGCAACACTAGTTGTCTTCATCTGCATTTATTCGTGTGTATGTGAAAGAAGGGCCAGGTCATCTGCGAAGTGCAAATCGTCTAGTTGCATCCAAGATGTCCATTGTATTCCGTGTCACCTCTCAGATGTGGAGGTCTTCATAATCCGGTCAACCACCAGACGAGAGAGGAAGGGGGAGAGTAAGCAGCTTTGTCTGTCTCCAGTCCTCACTTGGAATGAATCTGCTATCTGTTCTCCACTCGCAACTTTGCAGTGTAATCCGTCGTATGAATTCAGTGTGATATTTCCGATCTTCTCAGCTAAACCATAGCGTCGAAGAAGTTTCCATATCGTTCTTCCACACATGCGTGAGGGAACAGGTGTATGGAAATTAATGTATGAATTGATATACATATTCAATAAAATTTCATTTAAAATTATATTTTCGCGTATTTATAAGCAAAATGAACGATGTTTAAAATTTCCATTGTGTAGTTTGGAAGTGTAAGTTGCCCTCAAATGCCCTGGTACGGCCGAGAGTGGGGATAGTCCGCTCTCCCTCTCGAAATGCTCTCACATGGCCACGCGTATACAGCCTCTGCTAGGGACGCCCTACTCACTGACTTCTCGCGGCAGGAGTGTCGTTTACGAAATTGACAGGACGAAAAGTGAATGTCCAGCGCTTTAAGCGTGTTGGTGGACATGGAGAGTTCACCTAGTGGAGTTGGAGAACCCTGATTTCAAACCAATGGTGCACATGTGCTCCGGTATCCTAAAGGACCAAATGGCACATAAACCAATCGTTAGTCACTGTTCACCATGGGACTGCATCTCTTTACGTTGTTCTACTGCCTTTTGGACCAGACCTTTAGGTCTAAGGCTCCGGGTGTGGCCCCCCTAAGAAAACCACCTGCTTCGGTTTGCGCACCCGAGTAGTATCAGACCCCTCACACATATCAAGTGAGATTTGTGTGGCGCATATGTATTTGGTGCCTCCTTGTACCAACATCTGTGTGTTAAAATAAATAAATAAAATAAGAAGTGTTCGTTAAAAATATTTCCTCGTGGATAACCGCTTTTATTTTATAAGTTAATCTAGTGAGTGTAGTTATACGAATCCTACTATGTAGGGCTGATAATTCGATCACTTCTATTTTCACATTTGATTCGGATTATTAAAGAAATAGTTATCAATGATTTCATTTTGGTAGTGTTTTTGTAATAAAGGACACAATTGACCATTTTTTTCATTCTTTTTATAGTAATTTAGTTAATATGTCAATGTATTCGCAATCAGTTTGCTAATATTTTATTCTGTAATTTAGTTATAATAATTATATTTACTACTATTCGTTGAATTTGAACTGTTTCTTACACACACAGGCTCTTTGTCAAAAATCTCTTCATAAAGAATTTCTTATTCAATTATTAAGTATGACTGTAAATTGGCCTAATGCAGCAGAAGATTTCTCTACTTCGGATCCAGAAGATGAGCCAAGCGAGTTCGATCCAGAAACTAAACGAGGTACTTACATTCCATCAAGACCTAATGGTCCATTGATTGTTAAATCTCATACTAGACAGTCTGGCATACAACGTCGAGCATATAGACGTCTTTGGATGCATATTGCAGGAATGCTTACATGTGGTCAATTATCGCAAACACTAACACCCACTATAGTCCGGTAAGAAATTTTGTTAACTTTTTCTTTTTTCTAAAAATATATTTGACTCGTCAGTGCCTCACGTGTAAACTTTTTCTCCTTATCAATTACAAATATATATACTTACTAGAGTCATATATTTAGTGAGAATACGGTGTTGAGGGAAGAGGACTTTGTAACATATATCCTCACACACTGATTCATGAATTCGTGTTTTGAACTGTCGATTGTATCCATTACTGGTCCTATGAAGTTATCTAAAACAATTTAGAGGTATACTTTTTGGTTCAATATACTTTATTTATTTCGAAATGCCTTGATATTTGTGTAAGACATGGAGGAGAGTAGTAAAGTGGCAATGTTCGAAATGTTTTCTCTATTTCTTCCTTATTATTATGTCATAAATGTAGACTGATTTCTCATCTAATAATCAAGCCGGAACGATGCATTACCACTTAATAGTAAATTGACATGGTAATGATGAATAAATGTTGAGGTCTTTATTCTGACTTCTTACTTCATTCTAATATTTCTACGAGTTGCTTTTTTAATAAAGTGCTGAACCACTTGGACTAACTAGTGTTTTAGTTTAAATTCTAAATATTTTTCTACGTATTATACAATCCTTGAAGACATGAACACTATTTGTTTCAACTATTTTAGCTTGTTCACTCATATCAGTCAGTCAGTCAGTAACATCGTAGAACTTCGTACGTACGTACATCAGTTCGAGTGGCCACACCACATTAGCATAGAGATGCAGTGGTCGATTCAAATCCCGTAGTGGTAGAGGTAATAAGAGTATAGGCAGTAATCGGGAAGATTAGTGTTTGGAGATGTTACTTAAAGAGTATAATACAGTGAAATAAATTTGAGAGGAGAAAAAAAGAGACAATGAGGAATCAGGAGATCAAAATTTGGAAGGACACAAAGAGTGTATGCATCTGCGCCATTGCAAACGATTTTGAGCCATGTCATTCAGGGTCTCTAACCATCGGTTGCTATCATCTCGTGGTCCCCAACCTGGTAGTTTACACCTACCGACATGACTCAGACCACTTGTCAGTGACTTCATGGACTTGTGCCATGTTTTGGTCTGGCTTCCCCTAGCTTTCTTCCAACCTACTCCTATACCACTGAACATCGCACGTCGAGACAGTCGGTCGTTGTGCATACGTAATACGTGTCCAAGCCATCTCAGCTGATGGAGTTTCACTACTTCATCAATAGATTTGCCAACCTTACCTAGTACCCGTTTCCTAACAACTGCGTTACTTACTCGATGGTCCTATGATATACGAGCAATGTTTCGAAGACACCTATGATCAAATACTTGTAACCTACGAATATCCTCTACTCTTACCGGCCATGTTTCACTGCCATAAAGTAGGACGGGACGAACTGCTGCACAGTAAACCCGTCCTTTGGTTGATAGACGGATATCTCGCCTACGCCATAAATGACGCAAGTTGGTAAAAGCTAGTCGAGCCTTCTGTATCCGTGCTGAGATTTCGTCACACACTAAACCACAAGGGCTGATGAGACTTCCAAGATAAGTGAAGCGGTCGACACACTGAACTACTTCACTCCCTATCACTAGTTCGGGTGTCGATGTAACCCAATCCTGAAGCAACATTTTGCATTTCGAGGGAGAGAATCGCATGCCGAACATGCTTACATTGTTGCTTAGAGTGGTCAGAAGATTCTGCATTTTGTCAGCGTCTTCACCAAATAGAACTATGTCATCAGCATACTCTAAGTCGACAAGTGAACCTCCCGGTAGAAGTTCAACCCCTGTAAATTTAGATGAGGAAAGTGTTGTCTCTAAAAGTACGTCAATGACAAAGTTCAACAAGAATGGAAAGAGTGGACAGCCCTGACGAACACCACTTGAGATAATCAATTTTGATGACGGAGTCTAAACATTAAATCAGGTATTTTAATATGAAGTTCAAATAAAGTGATTAGGTTAGAAATTAAAGCTCTATTCATTGAATTTAAATGTGTATCTAGTGATGTATGTTTCAGATTCTGTATTTCTATTTACATATGTAGTTTTATTAGAGAAAATGCACCCAACAGATCAGCTGAACTGTGTGAAGATCGTGTTGTACTTGAACCTTCTGTACGTCGTCTATACCCACCTTCTCTGTTAGAATGGCGGATAAATTATACTGGAACTCATATGGGCATTAAACTTACATTCCCAGATGGTAAGATAAAGTCCATTTTCAGGTGTAAAAGGTACAAGTATAAGTAATAAAAGTGTTAATTCATCATTTTGATTTAGTATATTCTTTTAAATATGGATCATTAGCTCTTTCATTTCAATACCAGCAAACCAATCGAATAAAAGTCATTCATTTGATCGAGAGAAATATGTTAGTTTTTTCCGCATAAAATTTCACGTTTTTATGGCTCGATCACATTTTAGTGACTCTCAAATTATGTATCTATAAATAAACACTTTGTTCTAACTGTAGTTGTACATCCTATACATTCAACGAATACTTACTACACATTCACCATGGTTATTCATTTGTTTATGTTGTGCTTATTTGCTAAGATAATACTTCTTCAAAGATGAATATCAACTATAATTGAAGTTGATTTTTAACGAGAAATTAATTCTTCATTTCTTTCGTTTTGAAACTAGTTCCTTGCAGATTCTGATATTCAATTGATCTATGAACGTACGACTGGCACTTATACTGTGAGAAACTGCTATATTAGGAAACTGAGATTTAACATTAATAGTACCTTATCCAAACGCTTTGCTTTGTGGTAATTACAGTGTTTCTTGTTTCTAATTATGAGCATTAGGACAGCGGATACAACGTAGGTATAATAGGGACAAAACATCGGCAATCTATGATTACTGACTGGAATTTGTTAATTTTACGCATTCCACACAATTTAGTAACCGCTCGTCAACAGAGTTATTAGTCTAGCCCATTTTAATTCCATAAGTTTACTTCCTCCGTCTACCGATAAGCTTTTATGGATAAGTTTATTTTAAATGTCCAAAATTATAATCATTTAATACATGTTTAATATGTATACAACATTGAAATAATGTCTGTTCACCAATTAACAGATATAAATTGATTGAAGCTCTTATTTATTGTGTATATCCATTCATGTTCCCAGATGAATAGGTACTTCATGTTTGTTTTCGTTGAAGAATAAACTAGTTATTCACCTTCGAGTTATTCTTTCTGACTTGGTCAATTTTCCAGGTACTTCTAATTAATTAAATTTTGTAAAGCTTCAGAACCATCCGTTTTCTTTGAACTTTGAAATAAAGAACCACGGATTCATATTCAACGTTGATTCATGTGCTTAACAATTTTATATATCCAATTTTCTATCCGGAAAGTGAACGACTTGGAAGCCTTATAAATATTAAATCAATGGTAATGTATAAACGATGCAGAAAATCAGTAATTTACAGTAGAATATATTACTTTGAATGCAATTTTACAGCTATTTTTCAATCATGTTATTAGAAACAAGTGGTTTGTTCTAGATGTACAACTCTCAATTAAAGACTCAAGCTGTAGCTTAGACGTACTTTTTTTATCATAATGTTATCAATAAGAGCCTTGCGTGCTTATCTAATCTTGATCACGAAATTGTAGACAAAATCACTGAAACGATTGATTACTTTCTATCTCTAAATTAACGTTTTAAAAATACTTCATTTCATTTTAGGTATATTGTCAATTTTTCATGTTGGCAGTTTTACGCGTGCTGAAACATTAGCTGGTATGGCTTTAGCATTAAGGTGAGCATTTATTTTCCAATGTTTATGTCTCGTTTGTTTTTTTCACAGTAAACTGATCACGTCGAGTTAGATGGTAGCAGATAACGTTTATCCATCAAGACAATTTTTTCAGTAATAATACCTTATATGTTAAGAAAAGGCTTCATTATCAAAAAATGTAAATCAAACAATTTAACGATAACAAATATTGTTACTGATTATATTCAGAAAAAGTATTAATCTTCAGTATCCCAGTTTAATTGTTTTGAGTAATTTTTTCAACACTTTATGATCATACTAATTTGTAGTGGTAACGTAGAATGCTTTTTGTGGAAAAGGTTCCATTAATGTAAATTATTTATCAAGTCCAATTTTATGTACTCGGTTTTGAGCCAAACTGTGTATGTTACGGCTAAATGGAATACGATTTAAAATACCAACCACTTTACTGAAAGCCGATTCTTCAAAAACGTTTTAGTTCATACAAAGGAGTGTATCTAATTAGATTGTGTTCTTCAATTAGGTATACCAAGCATTTTTACGCGAGAATATTATGTTCTTATAAATTTAAAATGGTTTTGAGCTAATAACCTAATGTTAAAAAAATAAAAATCTCAATATGAATATTGGTTATCGATTGAAATAAATTCTGTGATCGTGAAAAACTTGGTTTTACAAAATACTTATTATTATAGCTTTTACCACTGGCGGGGTTTTCGTGAAGTATTTTTCATAATTTATATTGCATGAATATTGACATTAAGTGAAATCATTGTTTTTAGTTTATTTCTCATCAGTACCGGATTATCTATGTAACCCTGAATTTACAAACTCTCAATAACGAGAGCTTTTCGCAAACTAACTTTTAGTTTGTTTGTAGCCACTGAGTCTTTTATTCAATCATATAGTGAAATAATAAATATATAATTGTCATTTTATCTAATATTATCCACTTGGATTCAACTGAAACTGAACACAAAAAATAGTTAAAGAACTATTGGTTAAACGAAAACTCCGCCTGGAGTCCCTCGGGAGACTACTACCGGTCCCAAGCCCGGATAAAGGAGGAGGGTTGGGGATGGGGTTAGCGACCCCATCCCGTAGAAAAATGACTCGCTAATAAAACGCTAACCAGAAAAAATTATTCAAACCTTTTAAACTCTGCCTTGGGAGTCAGAAGGACTTCATTTAGAAAAACTATGACGCCTCATGATGAAAGCCGAATTCCTTCGGAAGTTACGAGGCCGATGCCCCTTCTGACAGCCAGAGCAACCATTTATTTAGGTAAATGGAATGTTCGTACAATGTGGGACACCGGGAGAGCCTTTCAAATCGCTGCAGAAATGAGGAGATACAACCTAGAGGTGCTTGGGATCAGTGAAACACACTGGACGCAAGTTGGACAACAACGACTAACTTCAGGAGAACTCCTGTTATACTCCGGCCATGAAGAAGAAAACGCTCCACATACACAAGGACTTGCATTGATGTTGTCCAAACTAGCACAAAACGCACTTATAGGATGGGATTCTCATGGACCAAGGATCATCAAAGCCTCCTTCAAAACAAAGAAAGACGGCATTTCAATGAACATCATCCAATGCTATGCGCCTACCAACGACTACAATGAAGACGCTAAAGATCAATTCTACAATAGGCTGCAGTCAATCGTCGAGAAGTGCCCAACAAAGGACCTGACCATTCTGATGGGAGATTTCAATGCCAAGGTTGGAACGGACAACACTGGATATGGAGGCGTCATGGGACAACACGGACTAGGAGAAAGGAACGAAAATGGTGAGAGATTTGCAAACCTATGTGCCTTCAATAAACTGGTCATAGGCGGCACCATATTCCCACATAAACGCATTCACAAAGCCACATGGACTTCACCGGATCACACTATGCAGAACCAAATCGACCATATCTGCATCAACAAAAAGTTCAGGAGGACGATGGAAAATGTGAGAACCAAGAGAGGAGCTGATATAGCATCAGATCATCACTTGCTGGTCGCCAAGATGAAATTGAAACTCAAGAAGCACTGCACAACGTGGCGGACAACATCACAGAAGTTTAATACGGCCTTTCTTCAGGATACTGACAAACTCAACAAATTCAAGATAGTCCTCAGCAATAAGTTCCAGGCCTTTCATGATCTACTCAATGGAGAAGGAACTACTATGGGAAGCAACTGAAAGGGGATCAAAGAGACAATCACTTCAACACATCATGAGGTCCTGGGCCACAAGAAGCACCATCACAAGGAATGGATCACTGTTGATACATTGGATAGGATTCAAGAAAGGAGGAACAAGAAGGCAGCAATCAATACCAGTCGAACAAGAGCAGGAAAAGCCAAGGCACAAGCTGAATACACAGAAGTAAACAAACAAGTGAAGAGGAGCATCAGAACCGACAAACGTAAATATGTGGAAGATTTAGCAACGACGGCGGAAAAGGCTGCAAGAGAAGGAAACATGAGACAATTGTATGACACGACAAAGAAACTCTCTGGAAATCGCCGCAAACCAGAACGACCAGTGAAAAGTAAGGAAGGTGAGGTAATCACCAACATTGAACAGCAACGAAACAGGTGGGTAGAACACTTCAATGAACTCTTGAATCGACCAGCCCCACTGAACCCATCCAACATCGAAGCAGCACCCACGGACCTCCCAATCGATGTTGGCCCACCAACAATTGAAGAGATAAGCATGGCCATCAGGCAAATCAAGAGTGGTAAAGCAGCAGGACCAGACAACATTCCAGCAGAGGCACTAAAAGCAGACGTAGAGGCAACTGCAAGGATACTCCACATTCTCTTCAATAAGATTTGGGATGAGGAACAAGTACCAGCAGACTGGAAAGAAGGACTTCTGATCAAAATACCGAAGAAAAGCGATCTCAGCAAGTGTGATAACTACAGGGGCATCACTCTTCTCTCAATACCGGGAAAAGTCTTCAACAGGGTATTGTTAAACAGGATGAAGGACTGCGTAGACGCCCAACTTCGTGACCAACAGGCAGGATTCCATAAGGATAGATCGTGTACAGACCAAATTGCAACTCTACGGATCATTGTGGAACAATCAATTGAGTGGAATTCATCACTCTACATCAACTTCATTGACTACGAAAAGGCATTTGACAGCGTGGACAGAACAACACTATGGAAACTTCTTCGACACTACGGCGTGCCTCAGAAGATAGTCAATATCATACAGAATTCCTATGATGGATTACACTGCAAAATCATGTATGGAGGACAGTTGACAAAGTCGTTCGAATTGAAGATCGGTGTTAGGCAGGGTTGCTTACTCTTACCGTTTCTCTTTCTCCTGGTGATCGACTGGATCATGAATACATCAACATCTGAAGGAAAACACGTGATTCAATGGACATCTAGGATGCAGTTGGACGATCTAGACTTCGCAGATGATCTGGCCCTTCTATCCCAAACGCAACAACAAATGCAGGAGAAGACGAACAGTGTAGCAGCAACCTCAGCAGCAGTAGGTCTCAATATACACAAAGGGAAAGGCAAGATTCCCCGATACAACACAGCATGCACCAATCCAATCACAATTGACGGAGAAGATTTGGAAGATGTGAAAACCTTTACATATTTGGGCAGCATCATTGATGAACAGGGTGGATCTGATGCAGATGTGAAAGTGCGTATCGGTAAAGCAAGAGCAGCATATTTACAACTGAGGAACATCTGGAACTCAAAGCAACTGTCAACCAACACCAAGGTCAGGATTTTCAATACAAATGTCAAGACAGTTCTACTGTACGGTGCGGAAACCTGGAGAACTACGAAAGCCATCATCCAGAAAATACAGGTGTTTATTAACAGTTGTCTACGCAAAATACTTCGGATCCGTTGGCCAGACACTATGAACAACAACCAACTGTGGGCGAGAACAAAGCAGATCCCAGTGGAGGAAGAAATCAGGAAGAAGCGTTGGAAGTGGATAGAATACATATTGAGGAAAGCACCTAACTGCGTCACAAGACAAGCCCTCACATGGAATCCTGAGAGAAGAGGAAGACCAAAGAACACATTACGCCGGGAAATGGAGATAGACATGAGAAAAATGAACAAGAATTGGATGGAACGAGAAAAGAAGGCTCGGGACAGAGTGGGTTGGAGAATGCTGGTCGACGGCCTTTGTTCCATTAGGAGTAACAGGCGAAAGTAAGTAAGGTTAAACGAATCAAATAATTTATCTGAAATACAAAGCGATTTCCTACATTTATATAATTGATCAGTTTTTTTTAGTTCAGTAAAATAAGTACGTAATTACAGCTTATCAGATATTCCTCTTTGTCTACATTAATTTTAATTTGACAACACGTTTATGTTTAATTTTATTTTAGAACATATTCAACACATATTCTCCAAGGCTGGACAATAAGTGTACATAAGTCGTCAAAAATATTAGATGTACCAGGTTATTTTTATGTATTGGATATATTTAGTCAACACGAACTTCCGGAAGAATGGTCACATTTAAATAATATTCTTCTTCATCATGTATTACCATGTTATGATGCTAAATCAAAAACAACGGAATATAATAGTGTTTACCATTCCCATTATGCCAGGTGAATTATTTATAATCTCTTTTAGTTTAACGTTATTATTACTAGTTATTATGTTAATATATTTACACAGAAATTCAGTTTAACTACTATGGGTAATTGAGTAATTCATGTCTTTACATCTACGTCACACTCTCCTTGTTCATCGATGATGCTGTTGACCAGCTACGAGAAAGTTTCCACCTCTACCAGAGTTTCTCCATCAAGTGTGACTGGGTCGGTGATCTCCGTGTTGTACTTGAGGACCTTGCTCTCTCCTTGATATATATTGAAGCTTCTGCAACACTAGTTGTCTTCATCTGCATTTATTCGTGTGTATGTGAAAGAAGGGCCAGGTCATCTGCGAAGTGCAAATCGTCTAGTTGCATCCAAGATGTCCATTGTATTCCGTGTCACCTCTCAGATGTGGAGCCCGACCGTTGTTGCTACCTTGACGTGGTGGTCGGGCTTGCCTATCGTGATGAAGCAACCGAGCTATACTGACTTGAACAACCGTTCCTCAAGGTCCTACCATGTCAGACAGGTCGGTTGAAGAGCGGTAAGACTAAAAGCAACAAACCCAAGGTCCGAAGGCGAAGTCGTACTGCTGACTGTACAGGTGTGTGACAGCAGTAAGGTGTTTCCTTCAGACAACCAGCATGACAGCGATGCTGCCTTCCCACAAGGAGGGGTGGGGTTAGAAAAGGTCGACCCTAAAAATGCACACCTCACCTTACCTCACGGATTTCCGTCTCCGGCGGTAAGGCCCTTTGAAGAACGGAGCTAACACGTCGAAAACCTTCCACGAAAAGGCCGTGCGCGACCGGCCTCAAGCAGTTGTCCCTTGGGCACTGCGGTCACGCTCTCAGGTCACTGAGACCACCTCTAATCCGATTTCCTTTTCAGGTACCTCCAGAAGAACCCTTCCACGGTGTGGGCAACCGGGAAGTGATAGCCGCCCTCATACCTCTAACAGCACCCAAGACCACTCTATTCATAATCAACCTTCCTCTTCAATTCCTATTATTCCTCCTACATCGACTTTCAACCCTAAACTTCCTCCTTCGGCTTCCTCCTCAAGTGTCACCATAGCCAACGATTCTAGTGCTCAAAACTCTGTCCCAGGTCTACTGAAACCTCGCTCCAAACTACACATTGGAGCTTTCAACGTACGCACTCTATGTCAAATCGGTCAGCAGGCTTCCTTGGCTAAAACCCTAGAGTCTCTTTCCATTGATGTATGCTGTGTCTCTGAAACACGCATACAGGATCCCAGTGTGGTCATTCACTTGACCTCACCTCGGCAGAACGGAGAGCCAACGAGATACACCCTCCGTGTATCTGGTGACCCGACGGCCAGTTCTCGTGGACTGGCAGGTGTAGGCATAGCACTAAGCATGAGGGCGGAACAAGCACTGCTAGAGTGGATCCCCGTCAACAGTCGTCTATGTGCTGTTCGGCTGAACGGCTACGTAAGAACTCGGAAGGATAGGGACACACGTCGTTGCCTTTTTGTCGTTTCTGTCTACGCTCCCACTGACTGCAGCTCAGATGAAGTGAAAGATGAATTTTACAGAAAGCTTTCTGAACTTCTTCAGAAAGCTAAACGCTCAGACATAGTACTCGTAGCAGGTGATTTTAATGCTCAGATAGGTAGCTTAAACCAAACAGAAAGGCATTTAGGTGGATATTTTAGTATTCCGACACAGCGAACAGATAACGGTGATCGTCTGCTGCAGCTATGCTCAGACAATCGTTTATTTTTAGCAAATACAAATTTTAAGCATAAGGAGAGACATCGTCTAACATGGCAACCCCCTACACCAAACCAACGATAGACTCAAATAGACCATATTGCCATCAGTCATCGTTGGAGAGGGTCGGTAGAAGATTGTCGCTCATTCTGGAGTACCTGCTTGGACTCCGACCATGCCCTAATACGGGCACGCATCTGCTTGCGCCTCACTGGACGCAAAAAAGCCACATTAAAAAGACCCGTTAGAACTGAGTTGAGTAACGAGAAAACCAAAAGTAGGTTCCAGGAACAACTGAGGTCACACTTAGGTAGTTGTGAAGACGAGGCTGACCCAGATGTTGCTTGGAAGAGCATACAATCAGCTGTGGAAACAGCAGTGACATCTATTAGTGACTTAAACCACAGAGTTGCAAGGAACCAGTGGATTTCTTCAAGGTCTGTCACACTGATGGATTCTCGCAAACTCGTCCCATCAGGTTCTGAACATGATGAAGAGCGAAAACAAATCAGATCTAGGTTAAGAAAAAGTCTAAGGAACGACCGTGAGCAGTGGTGGGTAACGAAAGCAAAAGAGATGGAAAAGGCGGCGACTATAGGGAACACAAGACAGCTTTACAGACTAATAAAAGAAACTGGAATTAATAAGTCAAGTGTAAGTGAGATTATTTCGGAAAAAGATGATACTCTCATCTGCTCCCAGTCCAGACGTTTAGAACGATGGGCGGAACATTTTAGAGAACAGTTCAGCTGGCCTTCAGCTACTCTACAACTACCCTCCATTCCCAGACAATGTGAATGGAACATTGAAGTAGGTCCCCCAACTCTTGCTGAAGTTCAAAAGGCTATAGTTAATCTGAAACGAGGAAGGGCAGCTGGTCCAGATGGATTGGCTCCAGAGGTCTTTAAGGATGGTGGTCCAATTTTAGCGATTAGGTTGACTAATATTTTAGCTAAGATCTGGGAATTAGACTTTATCCCATCTGACTGGTCGCAATCACTCATCGTCCCAATATATAAGAAAGGGTCAAAATCATCCTGTGACAACCACAGAGGGATTAGTTTAACAAACATAGTATCTAAAATACTGGCCTCGATAATTATCAGACGCCTAACTAAGACTCGTGAACTACAAACTCGAGAGAACCAAGCTGGCTTTAGACCTGGTCGTGGCTGCATCGACCACATATTCACCATTCGTCAGGTTCTAGAACACAGGCATACCTATCGGCGTCCGACGATGGTGGTCTTTCTTGACTTAAAAGCAGCGTTTGACTCTGTAGACCGCGAGACTCTGTGGCAGTGTCTGTCATTGAAAGGCGTACCTCAGAAGTACATAAACCTTGTGAAGGCTCTTTACTCGAACACTACTAGTCGAGTCAGGGCTTATGGCGAACTGTCATCTACTTTTGCAACTTCAAGTGGTGTCCGTCAAGGCTGTCCACTTTCTCCATTTTTGTTTAACTTCATCATAGACCTATTGATGGAAATAACACTCTCGTCGACTGAATTCTCGGGTATTGATCTCCTTCCAGGAGGTCCACTTATCGACTTAGAATACGCAGATGATATAGTCCTGTTTGGTGAAGACGCTGACAAAATGCAGAGTCTTCTGGTAGCACTAAGCAACAATGCCAGAATGTTTGGGATGCGCTTCTCTCCCTCTAAATGCAAGTTGTTGCTTCAGGATTGGTCTGCGTCAACACCTGAACTAAGGATAGGGAGTGAAGTAGTCGAACGCGTCGACAACTTCACTTATCTTGGAAGTCTGATCAGCCCTAATGGGTTGGTGTCTGACGAAATCTCAGCACGGATTCGAAAAGCTCGTTTGGCTTTTGCCAACTTACGTCACCTTTGGCGGAGGCGAGATATCCGTCTATCAATAAAAGGACGAGTATACTGCGCGGCAGTCCGTTCTGTCTTACTTTACGGCAGCGAAACATGGCCTTTAAGAGTAGAAGACACCCGTAAGCTACTAGTATTTGACCACAGATGCCTTAGAAATATTGCTGGCATCTGCTGGGATCACCGGGTAAGTAATAGTGAGGTTAGACGCAGGGTATTAGGGAATGATGGTAAATCAGTTGATGAGGTTATGAATCTTCATCGACTGAGATGGTTGGGCCACGTATTACGTATGCCTGAACACCGATTACCACGACGTGCAATGCTAACCGGTGTAGGGGATGGTTGGAAGAAAGTTAGGGGCGGCCAAACCAAAACGTGGCATCAGTGCTTGAAGTCACTAACTACTAGTCTGAGCCATGTTGGTAGATGCAGACTACTCGGTTGGGGTCCGCGTGACTATCGTAACCAATGGTTGGAGACTCTTGGTGACATGGCTCAGAATCGATCACAATGGCGTCGGTGTATACACTCCCTGTCTTCCCTTAAACTAAGAGATTAAATCACTTCATATCTTTCTTTCCACGAACTAATTCTTCCTTCCTATACTATATCCTTATTGCAACCTTTGACCTAACCACTCCTATGAATCCGGTGTTCATCTTGTTGTGCTAATGAGGTATGGCAACCTGGACCGATGCATATATGTGCCTGGTCCTACGTTGTAGCTGACTGACTGACTGACTGACTCAGATGTGGAGGTCTTCATAATCCGGTCAACCACCAGACGAGAGAGGAAGGGGGAGAGTAAGCAGCTTTGTCTGTCTCCAGTCCTCACTTGGAATGAATCTGCTATCTGTTCTCCACTCGCAACTTTGCAGTGTAATCCGTCGTATGAATTCAGTGTGATATTTCCGATCTTCTCAGCTAAACCATAGTGCCAAAGAAGGTTCTACAAGATTCTCCTATCCACACTGTCAAATGCTTTCTCGTGCTCAAGGAACCTGATGTTTAGTGACGAGTTCCATTCAATGGATTGTTCAACGATGATCCGTAGTGTCGTAATGTGGTCAGTGCACGACTGATCCTCACGGAATCCGGTCTGTTGATCTCAAAGTTAGGTGTCTACTGAACCATTCATGTGTTTCAACAATACTGTTGAAAACCTTTCCTAGTACCGATAATAGTTTTTTCCTCTATAGTACTCCTGTTCGCTCAGTTCTCCTTACTTCGGAATCTTGATAACTTGTCCTTCTTTCCAGTCTTTCGGCACTTGTTTCTCCATCCAGATCTTCCTGAATAGAAGGTGGAGCATTTTTGCAATTGCTCTTATGTCTGACTTTTGTTCTTCGGTAGGTAAATTGTCAGGTGCTTTTACTTTCCCACTCTTGATTTATCTAACGGCTATCCTAAAATTCTTCGATCGATGGTGGAGTGACATCTGTAGTAAAGTCTGTAGGTGCTTCTTCGATATCCGATGGATTCAATGTAGCTGGTCTAATTAAGTGTTCTTAAAACTGTTCCTCTCTCCTTGAATTTCAGTGATTTGCTCGTCTTCGTTATCACTAACCGGTCTCTCTGGTTTACTATATTTCCCTATCAGTTTCTTCGTCGTGTCATTTAGTTGTCTCATATTTCCTTCACTTGTTGGTTTTTCCTTTGCCGTTGCTAGTTCTTTCACGTATTTATTTTTGTCATCCCTAATGCTCCTCTTCATTTGCTTGTTTGCTTCCGTGTATTCAGTTCGTGCCTTGACTTTGTCTGTTGTTGTTCGCCTGTTGATAATTGCTATCCTCTTGTTCTTCCTTTCTTGAATTCATTGAGTTGGTCGTAATCTCTAAAGAAGGCTGTATTGAACCTGTGTAATGCTGTTTTCTGAGTTGTTCAGTGCTTCTTTGGTTTCAGATTGATCTTGGCAACCACCAGGTGGTGATTCGAAGCTGTGTTGGCACCTCTTTTCGTTCTCACGGCTTCTACTGACCTTTTGAATTTTGTATTGATGCAAATATGATTGATCTGGTTCTCTGTAGTTTGTTCCGATGAGACCCATATAGCTTTGTGTGTGTGTGTGTGCACACAGATTTTCAAATCTCTCTCGATTGTCGTTCCTTTTTCCCAGTCAGTCAAAGTCACCCCATGATATCTCTATAACCGTTGTTGTCCATTCCGAATTAAGTGTTTAAATCTGCCATCAGGATGGTCAGTTCCTTTCCTAAGCACTTTGCTATGATTAATTGCAGCCTCCCATAAAACTGATTTTTATCATCGTCATTGCTATCATTGGTGTTTGCATAAAATTGGATAACATTTATTGTGATTCCCTCTTTTTTTGTTATGAAGAATGATTTGATAATTCTGGATGCATAAGATTCTCATCCTGTAGGTGCTTTACGTGCTTCTTTGGACAGCATCAGAGCAACTCCTTGAATGTTTGGGGCATTTTTCTCACTGTCTCCCACATTTTCCAATCATTCCATGTACTTACTCTAATTGTTGTTAAATGGAGACATCAGCCTCGTGAATTGTTATCCTATCCTTAAGAATAATAAATGATTTCTATGTAGCTGGACACTTTTATACATTAATGTAGGTTCACTGATTTCATTAAACATATACAGAATTCACTAAGATGTTGAGTTATGGTAGCATTAATTTTGAATATTGAAAGATGCTCGTTGATACATGATAATTGTCAATGCAGTTGTTTGGTCGTCATTGACTTCCAGAAATTACAGTTTTGCTTGAAAATTCTCATTACGAAACTTTGTTTTCCTTAAGAATGTCATTTATCTATATTGTGTAGAGAATATTATTTGTACTTTAATGCTAATTTTTTTTTCCTTCATTAAGAAATGGAGTAACAGGAGTTATTGACGATTCACCACCACCTATTTTGAATAAATATAGGAACTATAATTATCAAAAATTGGCTAATTCAATACATGGCATAGAAAACAACGTAATGCTTTTTTTTGTCAAATTATATATATATATATATATATATATATATATATATATATATATATATATATATATATATTATATTATATTATAACACGATTGCTATGTGCATAGTATTTTAGTGATATAATCAATGTCGTTTTGTGTTTTTTTTTTCAGTGCTTTCATTTTTACCTGGCTTTGACAAATAGCAAACAATTATAACTAATTGCTAAATAAGAGATGTTTGGTTTTTCAAATTATTAATTGTAGTTTAGTATTTCCAAGTTCAGAGAAATTTGAGTCTGCTTAATGTTTGAGCTTTGATTTATTATTGTTTTGCGTAAAAACTGTCTTGATCAACTGTCATTATTGACTGAGACATGAAGAATAACTATATGTTCGTTAAGTTTCTATTTTTGCAACAAATTAAATATTGGCTTGCTTGTTCATCAATGCTTATTGATTATGATAAAATCTGGAAACATCTCAAATATTCATTTTTTAAACTTTAATGAGTAGTATATATGTTTCGAGTGACCTAAATACAGTATAAAATGTTACACAGAAATATTCATAATTAGATATTTTATAGTCCTATTAAGTAAACGTCACCGTTCATGTGAAGCTTGAATGTATAGTTAAATGTTTCAATGATTAATTTAATATCTAATTAAATATGAAATACACTTCCATTGATTCACTTTAAATCAAACTGAATATTGAAACTTTATTGTTAGAACAACGTTAACTATTGTAAGAGAACTATGATAAATGGCAAATATTGATTCTGTGCAAAATGAATAATTAAGAAATTGTTATTTCAACGTTTAATCTTATTTATACACTTACACGTAATTTCAAACCTTTATTGACTAGCAAAAATTTATATTATTATTCTCAATATCATTATTAGTTGTTGTATATGCGGAGGAATAGACCAATAATTATCATGTTAAGTCCAATGGTGTCCTTGGACTTTAAATGGACATTTTCTATTGGTCGATATCTGTTCACTTGTTGAATATTGTACAAAATTTATACGAATATTCGTCAAGATTAGAACGAATAGTTTGACAGTAATTGAGCGCCGAGTATAGAGAAGTCATTATATGTGAAAATTATATTTGAAATATTCTCAGCGATTGAAATATAACTAATTCCAACGTTTCGTCCAGCTAACTTGTCTGGACTTCTTCAGGGTAATAATCAAAATCAAAATTATCAAAGAAATATATAGCTTTTAACAATCAGGATTATACTGTGTTAAACCAATCATATTTGGGTGTTGATTTTTTGTAAAATGTTGTTTTCCATTTTATGGTGCGATGTGGTATGCTTGGTTAGTATATAAATAGAGTATGTTTGAAATATAATGATTCATATCTCAGAGGCTGAGACTTGCGTACTGGACTCAACTGGCTAGGCTGGACAGGGAAGCAGGACCAATCAGAACTGTAGGCCGTTCGTTCGTGTTTACGTGTCACTGTAGTTGATCGATAAATACGCTGCTCTCTAATTTTCCAGTCAAGGACACAACAATTAGCACAGGGTAAAAATCGACCGCAAATTAAAGCCATAACATTAGTATTAATAATATTGATCCTTTTAGATGAATTCACACAGTCGTTATACAAGAGCATCGAATATAAATTCTTTAAATCACCATCGTCGTCCTAGTTCTCAAGCTGATTGGTTTAAAGCAGTACGGCTAATGGCTTCAAAGCGATTCAGTGAAAGTACCAGGTCACTATCATCAATTAGAAGGAAGAACATTAAAAATCAGAAAATGTTTAATTCATTCCATTCACCTAGTGTTGGTTTCCCACGATCCAAATCTCCAGGTGATATTCTTCAAGATAGTCGACTAACAAGAGCATCTCCAACTGGTTATCCTTGTAAAAGAAGTTCAAACGCACTACCGCATGATATGCGATATTATATTTACGATCTTGCACCTTGGACTGTACAACTTAGAAAAGAAGTAAATTGTTGTTGTTATTGTTGTTTCACTCTTAATAATTTATTTACTTGGTTTTGATACAAGGAAATTTCGCATTTTCAAATGACAGATAACTCAGTTTTAATAAACATTGCATTTCTATGCTATTTACCTCAATCAATTTAAGGGTCTATATACAATCTTAGTTAACTCTGTGAAGAGAGAAAAAATAGTAACCTTTACATACTTAAATTTAAATTAATACGTTTTAGTTTAATGCATAGTAAGAGAATATATCGAGTAGTTTCTGTAATTGGCGTTTTACAAATAGACTGCTTACAGAGTTTTATGACATTTAGAAAAAATACTGTATGAGGGTACAAATAAAGTAAATGTAATTTCTCCAGGAATATTGTGGTGTATACTATTTATGTCAAGTGATATAAGTAGTATGTAACACCAAAAGGAGGTTGAAACTCTGTTGGCAGAAGGCTAAGAAGACCAAGTTCATAAGAAAACAGAAGTGGAAATAGAAAGGAATTGTGATTTGGAATTATCATACAGAATGTGGATGACAAATGATGGAATTCTGCAAATAAAATATCCAATGTATGGTTCTCATACTTTACCAAGAGATTCTGTAATTTCGTACTAAAGTACAATAGGTCGTTCCTACACGTGTTTATTCATTACACTATTACCTCACTTAACGGTATACTAGAATTCATAGACCTTTCAATATCTGAGTCATCTCCCTATCAATATTTAACTAAGATATATTCTGCGTTACTTCCTTTAAAAAAAATCAAAATTACTGAATTACATTAATTGACACTCAACTTCACCTAAGTAGTTCAAATACTGCCTATGTTGCAGAGTAAGTTAAAGAACCCTTTAGAAGATCTTTTAGTTTACTTCAATCTAGTTTCTCAATAAAAATGGTCAAATAGTACACAGAGCAAATCGAACATCTGAACACATAATTAAGATCAAGGGTTATCCCATGCAACTCATACGTTTTATGTATATCCAAGTTTACTGTTGTTGTAAACTTTTTCTGATAATGTAATTATTTGAAGTGATGCAGTCGAACTTCAGTAATAATGCTGCTTATTACTAATCGGATGAAATAAAGTACTTATATTTTGACAAGTTTCATCCATCATCAGATGCTTATCAACTATTGTTTAACTTCAATAAATATTGATAAGTCAAGAAAGGTGATTATTACTTAACATCAACATTGAAGTCTTAATCACGTTCAATTATATGTTAGTACTATTTTGTTATATGACTAAGTATTGTTAGGATTTATTGAAAATTTCTTAACTTTTTTTTCTCATATTTCATCATCCCAACATATACCATTACTACTATACAGTTTATCACTCCACGTGAACGTATAAGAACAAATTTGATATTGAATTTAATTTTTCATCAAATCATATCTGATATCCATGATGAAAGAAATTTACGTCTTAATACAGATGATCGTAATGAACTGTTATCAGTCATCGGTAAGCGGTTGTTTTTAGTATATATATATATATATATATATATATATATATATATATATATATATATATATATTAAATGAAATTTTCATGAACGCTGGAAAAATGCCAATGGAATTGTATCGCAAACTTCAAGGTTGTAATTCTCTTGAATATGTATATGGAAATTCGTAATAAAGAAATTTTACGATGAGAGTTATTGGTGGTAACATTTTGAAAAATTAATTTGATATTGACCAAACCGTAATTTTACTCTTCAGTGTTCCAACTTCATGTTTTTTACATAGTACTCTATTTACAATAATTATTATCATCGAGATTCAAGCTATTTATTAACTATTACTCCTTTCGATAAATTTGGTTAGTGTCATGAGAACATAAAAAATATCAGAATTATATGATACATTTACGCTGTACATTTCAAACAACCTGATCACTGATACATTTGTAGAAAAGTAAAAGTCTAACCAAACAAATTATGAAGTAATGGGAAACAAAACTAATAATGAAGTACATAATGCAAAGATGACCAGTATTCCTAGGGTAGGTTGAGGATAAGATTAAATTGTTTTTGATCATATTAAGGATATTTCATTTTCTTTATAGCCAAGGCCTCAATGAACCATAGTACATGCGTAGAGTAAGTTCTTTTCATCATATTATTCAAGCTAACTAATTAAGTGTCTTATTTCAAATAACTACATTGATTCAAGTAATTGTTCGTATTAGCACTTTTAATATTTTTCTTTGTTTCATTTTCTTGCACATCAGGTAAACATAGAAATCTTGATTCCATTGAATCTGTTCATGAAATTCCAATGGAAGTGAAAAAGAAGACTTTATTGACTTCTTTGAATTTGCCTATTTATTTTGGACGATTTTATCCAGTTCAAGTAATTTGTTCTACATGTTATTTAATGTATTTTGTTAAAAAAAATCATTTTTTAAAAGTCAATAAAAATAAATTTCATTATATTTTTATCTGTTAATGTATTATGTCAAATAAAGTAGATATTTGTTCTGATGAATGAACTGAAATTATTAAATTGTTAAGGATTTCTTTTTTTAAATTGAAATCATGAATAGATCTATGTTAGACCATCATTGAAAACCTAGATACACTGGGCGGCCGTTTCGTCCTAGTATGGGACTTCTCTTTTTCGTTTGAAATTTTTCCACGATGTTTCAGATATATAATGTGAAATTTCATGTTTACTTTAAAAAATTTGCACTTACGAAATGATGATATCATTTATATTATGACTGTATCGATTCTAGGGATAGTTATTAATATCAGTCAGAATTAATTCAATAAAAGTATTTGACAAATGAAGAATATCAGTAACTCTATCATCAGACTTTACAGTTATGGGCCCATAATTATGATGTTTTACAAAGGCAATTAGACAATGTTATATGTTAAAAATGGTAAGCATTTGCATCTGTTACGGCATAAATATTTCAAAATTGTACTATCTGTAAATTAGAAAGGTCACTCAATAAAGATCAGAATGATTTAAAGTGTCAAGTTTTTGAATATACTCGGATGTTAAATCTAGCATTCTATTGCATGAATTTTTAGAGTGAATGCGTTTATCTAATGATGTATATTATATATTTTTAGACATAGTTCACTGCACAAAATTATAATTTTATTGATTCAATAAACTAGAAGCAACGGTACACAGAGATTGTACATTATATAAAATTAATAATGAAAAAGGGTTTATATTGATGTTAGTTTTACAAATTGTTTTTAAGTCAGACAACAATTGTTTCCGAAATCTTGAGTTTAGTATTTGTTAAATTAACTAATTATTTTCAACGTATATAATTTTTATTTATAGTCTTAGTTTCTTAGTTACAAACTGAAAATCCATTTTCTTAATTTCTGTTAAAAATAAAAATGATCGAGTCCATAGACTGTAATCAGAAAGACTTTGTAGAGTAATGTAATACTTTGTATGTTTTTGAATGATCTCTTAGAAAATATATCGTTTTAAAATCGCCAAACATATATTCAAACAATATTCAGATGTGCATTGTCAAAAATCCGTTGACCTGTCTATTATCTTTAGATATAACTACATAATTTACTATACACAAGCAGTCATTTATAGTTTCAGCTACTGTGAGCAGTCTTTTATAGGTATGTGATCAGCTTTGCTCAATGCTCATATATATCTGTCTAACAAAAGTGACATTCAAAGGACCGATAAATGTCGCATTATGACCTTTGATATACACTATTAAATTAAACGCAATTAACATTAATTAAGTTGTTCGCCTTGGACACAAGTTGGATCTTCAAATACTGTTCAGTTTATTCTGTCTCGAATGGATTTGTTTATTTTTGAGCAAGTATAGATGTTAGTTTTTTCTGTTATACTATTCAAAACGATAAATATTAGGTTGAATAAAATCTCTAACCAGTTTTATTCCAATGGCTTCTTACTTATAATTATCAAATGAAAATAAACTATGTTCACTTTCTTCTTGTGAATATTTGCTACTTTATCGAGCACTGACTTGTGAATGTTAAGTTTCTTATTCAAAACAGTGAATTTGTGAAAAAAGACTGTCGAATATAACTTTTTTTCAAACTGGTTTGTTACTGAAATACGAATTAATCTCAGATGATTTATTTATTTGTATATATGTGGTAAACTAATATTATGAGAGGTGACAATAATGCTTACTATTTATAATATTAGCTACTCGGGTCGATTTTGATTAAGAATGGAATTAAAATATCTGTGTAGGTTTATTTTTTGGTTGTTTACAATTATTGTACGACTTTGATGTTTTGTTTCCCCTCCCACAACCTGCAGTAAAATATTTTTTATCCACTGCTAATTAGTAATTTTGCTTCGAAGATTCATAAGCGAATCTATTAGTTTTGAAATGTTGTAAAAGGTGTGCAACTCAGATTTTGCTGGAGTTTTGTTCACCGACCAGAACGATTTAATTCTAAGGCTTTTGTCGTCCTCCTAGTCATCAACAACACAAACTTAATCCAACTCAGAGATCCAAACCACATCAAAATAATTTATTAATGCTCTGTTGTGTGAAACAAGTGAGGTAAATATAAGAATCACTAAGTATTAAGGCTGTATACTTGATGTAAAGTACTACAACTGTTTTTTTGATGTATTTATTGTGAATAATTAGAATTTGATAATCTTTCTTGTTGTAAACTAGTCAGTGACTTAATCAGTATCAAGTTAAACATAAAATAATACGTTTGGATTAGGAAATAACACTTAAGTTAAGATTGTGTGGTTCATCAGTTGCTGTTATGACAGATGATTGAAACTACAGAGTCACTTTACAAATATTATTAAATTCACATCGCTATTCATAATCAATCAAAAGATGCGTTACTTCTTTCTGTTCATTTCAGTCGCTTGATATGAATGCTTCTCCAGATCTTAGTCAGTGGTTAGTAGTAAGTCATCACGGTATCAGGTTGGTTTTGCAGCCAAAAGATTGTGCAGAGGTCAATATAAGAATTATCTCCAAGCTTGGTGACGTAAACAAGGTAACTTCATCGCGGACATCCAACAGACCACGATGGCGATGTGGAGATCAATCATCAATCAAGGATTCTCAAAGCACTGATTATGGAAAACCTTCAGATTATCTTAAACCACCATTAAGTCGATCAGTCAGTACAGTAACCTACAATCTTTTGACTCTAAATCACGCTGCTGGGATAAGTCAGTTTTATACAGAAATGGTAAGATTTCGATAATGCCGGAATGTGTTTTTTACAATTTCACCTTATTATAAATTTGAAAAAGTTACCAGTGACATGAATAAATTTAAAAAGATGTAATTCTGTGAGTAACCAAAATGTGTGAATTATTAACATTTAAAGTTTAAGTATAATTTAAACCAGTGATGACGTAGTAATTAAAGATCGAATAAGTATTATTATCGTTTTCTGGTTATCCCATACATTTACTAGAGTTTCTATATAAATGGAATAAGTTCTTAGAATTCACATTTATTATCTTATGAAAAGCGTTTGGTATTAAATCTCTTTTTTGTTAATGCAACAAACACTTCGTTTGTTTCTCTCTTATATGTAATAAAAAGTCCGAAATTGACATATATCGTTTCATTTATTTACTACGTACTTTAAGCTCAAGATGCTTGTGAATTAATAGCAATATCAAGTCAATCCGCGCTGGATACATGTATGCTAAAACTGACGGATCAGTTAGAGTCCTAAATAACAAAGGAAAAACCCAAATAACCAATATAAATGACAAACTTTTTTATGTGTAATAAGTGTTATGTTTCACTATTCCTTGGTACTATTCAAATTCTAGTCGTTGTATAAAGTGATTATCATACACATCAGCTTAATAATGTTTATTTACTGGCTAGTAAAAAAATTTTTAAACAATAAGTGAGATTTAACCATTTTGTTGTGCTCTCATCAGCTTAAATGTTGTAATTGTGATTGTTTTCACTTTCATCACACTATGAAAATAATATTATATGAAATATGTTTCTTAAATTTTAATTGTTTATATCATGCCAATTTTTTTCTTGTTTAGGCAGAAAAGATTTGTGAACTAATTGAACTATTCTTAAGAGAATATAAAGAAGAGGTAGTTTATTTCTTATCTAACTTGTTATTGCTATTGTTAGTAGTATCATTATTACTGTAACTATTAGTAATATTAGTATTACATGCGTTTTTATAAATGAAATAGCAGAGGGCCAAAAATGATAAAGATGCTCTGAGATGCAGGTACATTCAGCTGAGGTGTCCTAAATAGGACGAATTGCGCGTCCTGGATTCCACTGCTAGCCACTATCTATCTTTGCTAATAATGCTTATAAATTAAGGCAATATCGGGGCAGTACGCACAGTATGCACATATACCGATACATACTGATCAATTGCAGTCCTAAACATCTATGAGAACATTCAAGTAAACAATACCAAGTGAATTCATTGTAAATTTAGTTTATTTCCCATCATAAATCCTTATTGTTTTCTTCAGAATTGTGTAATTATCTTGAGTTATCTATTTTACACATAATGACAACGGAACCTAATTAGACCATATTAAAAATAATATTTTCGATTCGTTTATCAGTGTATTTTTTCAAATTGAGATTTTTGTTTGAAACATCTACTTTTTCTTAAATATACTTTAATATTAAAAATGGTAGTTGCTCAAAGTCTAAAGTAATATTCTATATCTTTTCAGAATCAGTCCACACATTCAAAGTTTCTTCTACTTTTTTCATATTGATGCTAGATGAAAAATAGTTTACCGCAATTGTTTATATTTTGCTAATGTATGGACAACAATTTCTGTTGTAAAACGTATAGAGCCTGTGATGGTTTTTCAACTGTACAGTTTACTTAATAAAAGGAGCGTCGAATCATTATATGAAAGGTGTCTTTGGTTGAGGTAATAATATACTATTTTGACGGATTAAAACAGAAATATAAATGTAATAGAAAAAAATGACTGAGGAAGTAGTTGTTTGACATTAACATATTTTCAACGATGTTGTATCTTGAAAATCCTTGACAGGTATATATTGTAAAAAAAATAAAATTTATTTTAGGCTGACCAAATGCTGTAAATTGTTCATTATGATTCGAAGGACATTTGTAGAACATTCCATATTTTAAAATGGCGAAGATCATTTTCTCTTTCACTTTCTATCTATTAAGGAAAGCAATTTCTGATAAATCACGTCTTAGAAAATAATGAATATTCAAATTTTTAATTAAAAAGGCTATGTTATAACTTTAAGGTTGCCAATTGTTGTAACGGGTGAGACTGCAGGTTTTGATACGCAGCGTTTATATCGATCGACTATAGTGACACGTAGACACGAACGAACGGCCTACAGTTCTGATTGGTCCTGCTTCCCTGTCCAGCCTAGCCAGTTGAGTCCAGTACGCAAGTCTCAGCCTCTGAGATATGAATCATTATATTTCAAACATACTCTATTTATATACTAACCAAGCATACCACATCGTACCATAGAATAGAAAACAACATTTTGTACAATATTCAACAAGTGAACAGATATCGACCAATAGGAAATGTCCATTTAAAGTCCAAGGACACCATTGGACTTAACATGATAATTATTGGTCTATTCCTCCGCATCCACAACAGGCTAGTGTGTATATTTATTATGCACTTGACTTTTTATAGACATAAGATAGTCAGGTATGCTCGACCTCGAAGATAAAACAGTATTCACAAAACATATTAAAGGTTTCATTATTCTCGAAAACTGTACTCTAGCAAAATATTGGTGTGCATCAAAGACATGTGCTGCACTTTTTAAAATAGTTGTTTTTCCGTTCGGAAGAATATATCTGTCTCACTACAATGAAAAAATTGTTTCGTTCAGTTTCCACTTCGAAATATTGGGTATCATTACCTTGAAACCATATGTCTTAATCCATGATCTATTATCTGAATTTCTTCCTGTACAAAATCTTTTAACTCTTAGTCTACTGACCTCGATTTCCCTGTTTTAATTTAGTTTTCTTCCGGATAGTTTACCTTTTTCTATATTGTTCACAGGTTTTGTCATTTGCACCAACTATTTTCAATATGTTCCTACGTTATGTTTGTTTTTAAGTGTACAGTGACATTTTCACTTTATTCAAGATCTCAAAAATTTAGAGTAGCTGATTCGTTTTCAATTAAATTTTGTTCACTGTACAATCTATGAAATCTGTTTTCATAACCGAAAAAGATTACATATTACTGTAAATATATTTTGAAAGGTTTATTTTTGTGGTAGTATATTCATCTATTACATATTGTTACATAATCTGTGTGTAACTTCTTAATGTAATTTAACTAATTCGTAGTTTACGTATAGACTAAACAATGGGAAGCGTGTCCTATTTTGCTGAAATTGTATTCTCTTTGTATTGTCTCCTCTCTCTTTTTACACTATGAAGTTTACTATATTTATCATAAGCTAAAATAATGTTTATTTATAGCAATTTATAACATGTTACTTCTTATGTAAAATTTATGTTGTTCTTATTTAAACTTATAGATGAAACGTCTTCAGGATGCGAAACATTCTGCTTTCAGAGGTCGTTGTAAGTGCGTTAACTCGTTCTTGATTATGTTTACAATTACGTTTTATTGTCAGTTGAAATAGTTTTTTTGGTTTTTGATTAAAAAAGTGACTAAAGTGATTACCTTACTTACTTTATTTAAATCACAAATTTAGAATTTTCCTAAATTCTTCGTATCTCCCTTATGAAAACATCGTTAAAACTTTTGTTAGTGGTGAAGTACTGTTTCAACTAAAGCGTTTTTACGATAAGCAATGCATTAGAAGTAATGTATGATCTGATTATGGTAAATATTAGGCTGTTACTAGACTAATGTTAACAAAAACTACCGTACTATTCAAGTATTATCTATATCATAATCGTCATTTCTTCCACGGTCGAATTATTGACATGATTCTTTAAAATAGTGATTGGATTACCTGTAGTATCATTAATTGTTATGAAATACTCAAACATTTCGTCTGAATTCTGATAAGCACACATTATCTATCTCAAAACGTGGTTGAAGTTAAATTTCCACAAAGTTATTGTTAGTTCTGCTGTTTTTTTCACCTTCCAAACAGACAATCAGAAAACATGAACAAAGAAGAATGAAACTTATTTTGAATAAGTTTTCTTATTGACTGTGAATGTCTTGATTTCTAACATTCATTAGTTGTTGTGCTTTACTTTCATCTGGACTTTAACATATTCATCTTTTTATTTCGTGGCATATGTCTTAGTGCCAGTTGTGTACTAACAATTCTTTAAAGATTATCTTGTTCAAGAGTGAAATAAAGTAACCATTAAAAAATAAATCATGAATTTTTTATTATTTATTATTAACACGATATATAAATATACATGAAGTGAAAATTATTCCTGGAAATTTTAATTAAGCTTGTCTATCGTCCTGTTGATTGCACAACTATTGTCAGTTTCAAAGTTTCATTCTAAAGAATTAAGTTGTTAGGTTGTATTACTTCTGTTATTATTATTGGTGGCTTTATTCAATATTATGTTTTTGGTACCACATAGAATTCTCAGCACCAAGTATTCCAACACGTTTCCGTTTTTTGTTTCTTGGTCAATCCTGACGATAAATGTTGAGTGATCTCCAGTTAGATGTTAACAGTTCAGAAATCGACATCTGAATAATGCTCAATCTTTTCGATGCATATTGTCAGTCGTCATGATGTCTTTGATTGTACTTATTTGTAAATTGTACAGCGAAAACTTGTAAACTTTTCATAAGCAAGCCTCAATAGATTATGCAATTAATAAATATTATGTGTTAAAACAAACCAAAACGGAGAACGTGTTGAAATATCTACATGAAAGAAACAGGTAGCCTAGATATTCAAGCAGGCTTCTTGCGTTAACTGTTAAACAGTTGCAATTGAAGTTATTTGAATTAGGTGATATCTTTAGTTGGGTGCTCCCAAAAATATACTTCTTAAATCTTTAAACAAACAGGAAGACATTTATAATGCCTGAAGGTATTGATTCCCATTGTGTTCGACGCTCTGAGAGAGACGTCTCAGACTGAAACGGAACAAATATCCAGTTCTTTGTGAATTTCATTAGGTCACTTGTTGTTATGTATTTGTGACACAAACTACGTTCTGTTTGAAAACACTTTAAAAAAGCCATATATAAAAAACGGGAGGCTAAATCACATGCAGTAATTTTATATGTCTTATATGTACATTGTATGCAATACTAAATCATATGTGTGCAATAAGTGCTAACATATTCATTTACTTCTCTCTGTAAATATCAATTTAACTAGAAATAAAGCATTCATCCAAGAGGAATCGAGCTCAGAGGAAAACTTTTGAAATACAAAAGTTTTAAGAAAATTAAATATTTTGCAAAAAAGCTTTCTACAATTAATTTGTAAACAAAATGCTGTGAAAAACAAGAAAATCATCAAGATAGTTTACTTCATTGTTCTACTTCCCATATTAAAAATTTCCACGAACAACGTAATAATATCATTTGTTCACTTTATGTATAAAAATTATCAACACTTGTTTTGTATACGTTTCTCATGCATCGCGTTGTATCGAATCATTTTAAAACTTTTAGATGACATACATCCGGTCAATATCCCAGGAATTATAGACTTATTTCTTTTACAGCATCTCCTTGTAAAATGATACACCAAATAATTATTGATTGTCTTAATTTTCCGCAATTTCACTTTTTGTACACTATTAGATTTTCAATAAACTATTCTACAACTATATATATACATAATTTACTTATTCATAAATTGTTATTTACATAGTCAATGCTTCAACTCCTGACATTTCAAGTACTCCAGAAGTTGCATATCGACTGGTATGCAGTCCTGCTTTACTCTCAAATGATTTGTCCGAACCCTCATTTAATTCAGAGCAGCAATTTATAACAAAAAATGTTACAAATCTTGATACGAAACCTCCAATTATTCCACGAAGACGTAGTCATGTTTCGCATAAATTTGATAATTCTACGAATAATAATTCACTAGTTGACAGTTCTGATTCATTATCTTCGGATTCAGAATTACATTCACCGAATCCAATCAGTCGATCAACAACACCAACTATAGCCAAACATACACGATCATCGAGTGAACGTAATCTCATTAGTAGTGTGAACAATTTAGGATCTGGTGAAGATACTCCAATTGGTTGGAATCCACCATTTAGACGAAATTTGTTTGGTGATTCACAAGGGCAACAGTTTAATGAACATCCTCTTTTGCCATTTGCACGTCAAAACTTTTTAAATGAGTGAGTGGATTTTGAAAGTTTTATTTTATTTTAAGATAAAATTATGATGAGAATGACAGTGATCAATATCCCGGTATTGGTTTTTTACATATTGAAGTCAATTTACTTTGCTGTTTGATGAATCACTTTATCATAATTTGTTTTATCCCAAGTTTTGTTTAGAAATATATATTATACAGTGTAAAATCAGTTAGCATGTTAAGACACTCAGTAGTATATTTTGAAGTATAAACTTTCCTTTCTGCTTGGGTTTTTCAAAGATGGATGTCGTGCTATTGTGATGCTAACTTTGTCACTACCTGTCTGTATAAGATGATTAACGATAATCTACTGATAATTGGTTTTTGATCATCAATTAAATAAACTGCTTGTTTAAATATCTATTTAAGAGTGTGGTATGTTTATAGGAAAACCAACCTTATTACAATTCATTTGATTAAACACAGACAGACCCAGGTTACAACGTTTCTCCCATATGCATGCTCGATGTATATGTAACTATACTGATAGTCTGTATCCCATGTCCTCATTTTATGTTCATACCCAGTCAATATTACTTCATGTGAGTTTTTTGAAGATTTTTGTCAATGCATTCTTACAGAAATCAAAGCTGAATTTTCTTACAGTGATTTTATATTTTGGCTTATTGTGATCCTTTGTAGATCAGTTAATTTGCGCATAGTTAAATGGTTCTGTAACAATAGTAACTTCATTTTCACTTGATATGCTTTTGGTGTATACTAGATTTCTAAAATGCTTATGTGATTAATTTAGTGTCAATTAGTGTGCTAAATGAGGCATACTGTAATAGCAGATCCTTTATTTAACTGACTTAGTGTACTCCTCTTACACAATAGTATCATTTACTAATCACAGCCTCTTTAGTTTACCGGTAAATAAAGAACTCCTTCACATAGCTTCAATCTTCAAAGTATGCTAATGATTGATAAGGACTTAAGTTGAATTATTTACTTATTTTCTTTCGTCAAATCTTCGCCAATTGCCTTAAAACCATAATCACAAGCGTAGTACTTATACAGATGTTTTCAGAACCTAATACGAACACGTTATATTGTGGTGTAATACAGGTGGAAGTGCAATTACATAGATTATTTCAAATCAATGTCATATAGTGAAGAACGTTGTTCAACATCGACTGAGATATTATCAGGGCAAAGAACTTTTCTATTAGAAGTACCTCGATGTTTTTTTTGCTTTCTTTGCTCTAGATAACTTCATCGGGAAACGTTTACGACCCTACAATTATGAAACAGTGTGTGTACGAAGTTAAAACAAATATATCAAACTTGATTAACGGAAGAAACAGCTTTCTTCATGTTTTTGCTTTTACATAGGATTGATAACACTACTTTTTTTTATTTCAAAACCGTTTTTAAAATCTGTAGTTTATAAAAGACAACTAAAAATAATCCAAACAATTTTACTAGTGTTGTGTCAATAGATATAAGTAGTTTTATCACCAGTCGAATATGGAATGCCTGGCAGCAGATAGTTGGGAAAATCGAAGAGAAGGGAACGAAAACAGAGTGTGCTTGGTAGGGAAACGAAAGAACAGCAAATTCTTAGACAATTGATGGGTGTTTTGCTAATGAAGTATTACTGTATGGTTCTCAGATTTTACCAAAATATTTCGTAATGTATTAAAGTACATTTGATTGTCCCCGCCTGTGTTCTCGTTCACTACACTAGAACACAGATTATTATGTAAGCTTTTGGGAAATAATCTAGATATAAAGTTTATACTATTTATTTTTATTTTATTAAAAAGTGAAATAGACGTTTACTTTAGAACAAAAGTGTTATATCCCACGAAAGTTATGGATGGTAACTTGTGAGAACTATTTATGAACAAATATTATACGTATATTCTTTATGTATTCAGTAGCTAGATTATGCATATCTATACTCCTCTAATTAAAGGCTTTATTTTGACAGGAAGAAGGACTCTAGAATGCTCGGACGGGTTTATGCGTTATTGGTCCGGTCGACAATTCACTATTCGCTAATTGGCAGTATCATTACATTATACATTATTAGGGCACTCGGCCACAAGTTATAACAAAAAGTGTATAAACTTGTCGTTCTGTTGGCTGGAAAATTATCAATGCTTAAATTTTACTATTATCACATTGAAATTATTTCATAACTAATAACTCAGTTTAAATATTTATCGCTTCATTGATAAAAGATTACTGATTTATTCAGAAGTCAAAGTTATGTCTTTTGTTAGAATACCTAATGATTTAGAAAAAATTGTTGATCAATATTCTAACAAATGAATTAGAGTTTAAGTCATGATAAGAACTGTGTTGATAACTTAAATATAAATAGATATGGGACTAATGAATTGCATGAATTAGTGTTGAATTGTGCCGCTAAACATTTTCAGTGATCATCCTTTTTTGTTTTTTATTTTAAAGTCTAAAGACTTTTTTAATCAACACTAATTTACATAAACATTGTAACTAGAGAAGACGGTTAGTCATCTTTGTAAATCAAATATTGATGAAATTGAATTAATGACCATATCCTTTAAGTTGTTCGATTTCCAAATGGTTTTTTTAAATGTTTTCTATTGTTTCTATCTACTTTTTTAATGAAGAATAAGATTTCTCCGTTTGTATGTAATTGTAATATAAGGTTCTTAAAGGTTACATTGTGACTTCTTTACTTTATATTAAAGAAATGACGTAATCCAACAACTTAGTTGGGAGCCTCAACCACCTGAATCTGGATCTCTGTTAAAACATCCAGATAGTGTGGATACGGAAGTGTCAAGGAATATATTTACACGTATGTGCTACAGCGAAAGTAATCTGCTTTACTAACACTTGGTGGTTTACACCTAATTTTACAAAAAAAATCAGTTCACTTTTAATATAATTTGATACAGTAGTCGACTATTTATGTGCACATTAATTTGAAGCCACGTTAACAATTATACATTTTTGATATTTTCCGCTTCTGTACATCCGATTCTAACATATTCCATAAACTATTTTTAGAGTCATTAAACTCTGAAATTTGCATTTTTACAGCGCTCCTACTTTAACTACATTAAATTCATTCATTGCATTGTTTTCCTTTTTTTTCAGTCAAATGTGTGTTGAAATTAGTACACTGTTAAATAATTCTCATCACAATTCCATAACATTTTAAATATTAACCGAAATCACTACAAACAGGACATAGGTTTTATCTTGTTAACAAATAAATATCCATAAGTTCTGTCTATTGATACCTTGGAAATTCTCAAGCTGATTGGGTGCTACAACCAATTCGCACCTACATACCAATAAGATTCGAACACTAATATTTTCGGGTTCTAAAACAAAACACATTTTATGTGATAATAATGACAAGTAAACGACTTTGAATAAATTCAAGATTTATCAAAAATTCATTGAGTTATCTAACTATCATTTCATTGCTCTAACAAGATGCATTATTATTACCATAAGGTTAACAATTCTATCTATTTTATTGGTTCTATAGTTGGTTTTATAACTATCGATTGAATGAATGCTCCGTCTACTATGAATTGAATCTTTTTATTATTTCATTCATATCCTTATTGTTTGTAACTTTTAAAATTCTTATAGTGAACAGATTAGGTAGAATTTATCTTGGTCATGGCGTCTTATTGTTGAAAATAAAATAATGTATATGAAGGATACAAATTTACATCACATTATTATCTGCACCTTGTCCATTTACTAATTAAACCTCAGTAATCATTGAGAATAGAACAAACATTTCAATTGTCATAACTGATTATGCACTTATAATTTAAATGTTTTATAATTTTATATTTCCATCATATATAGTATGTTAATTTTTATATATTTCTTCATATTAAAATCTTTTAGATCCATCTTTATCTTAATTTTAAATAGATCAACAAAAACAATAAATTCTAAATCATCATTATCATTTCATTATAGTCTGTTTACTCTGATTGCACATTTATTTCAATCTAAATTGATTTTAATCAAATAAACAAAAACAAAAAAAAAGAAACAGATTCTTTTTCAGTTTATCAATCAGTTTTTTGAATATTGTTTAGTTGAAATGATCTGATTTAATTTGTTGTTTTTTTTTTTTAAAACAGAATTATTTAATTATCTTTCATCACATATAACATTAAATAAATGATGATGGAATTTTTTTCCTGATGGATGAAAACATTTATTATATTTTAGAATTATATCTAATATCTTGGTGAATGCTTAAATATTTCTTCACTAAAACAAAATACTCCTTTTAAAGTTCCATATGTACATAGATGTGTAGTTTTGTTCATTTCAGCGATATAATATTATACAATGACAATCCACAAAATTTATTTATCTGATCAATCAATTCTGTCTTATCTAATAAGTTGATCTTCGTTTTGTTCAAAGATATGAAAAAATTTTTTTTTTACCTAACTAGTTACCTTGACACAAAAACAACATTGATAGAACAATATGAACACATTTTATTTTTAAACCATGCGTCGACTACTAACGTTTCAGTTATGTACATAGGAATCAATTAAATTGGATTAGTCTATGGTTACTTGTAAACTTCATTCATGTGAAATATTGCAATGTTTTGGTAAAAAAAAAGTATAAAATGATCAACCTGTATGACTTCAGGTCATGCCTATTGATGTCTGCTTACGTCAGCTAAAAACAAGTTATCATGGTACATCGGATTTTTTTTCATTGTTTCGCTCTACTCAGTGCTTCTTTATATCCCATATTATTGGTATTCATGCTTGGTTTCTTTTTAAAGCTGACCTTGAGAAGGTCTTTTTGATAAATGGAGTCCAACAAATTAAAGTATATTTCATGATCAATATTCCTATTTCAAACTAATAAACACTATATATATACATAGGATGCAATAATCAACTGGACATTTCATGATGTCTATTTCTTTTTTTTAAAAAGTTTTATTGTTCAACAAATGACTGGTTCTTACCATTAGAAATTACGTCAAGTTATACGAATAAACCGAATATTATAGTTGGTATTTTTAAGTTTTAAAAAACACAACTGGTCTTTTCAAAACAAATAACGTGACATCATTTTGATTCTTATGCGTTCTATGTTGAAATATCTAGATCTTCATAGCTTCTGTTCTCAAAACAAATCAACTTATTAATTTGGAAAAAGTTAACTAGTAGTAATCACTAACTAATCATTTGTTAAGCTTCTTTGTTTTTTTCATTTATTTAAAATAGTCATTCAATGTTTTGCCAAAGAAGTTCCATCGAAATACCCACAGAGTGTGATTATTAAATTAATAATTGAAGTAAGTATCAGTAAAACGTTATGCTCCCTAAATTGAATTTGTGTATACATTTAGTTCATTTTAATGAAATAGTAGTTTAAATTACCTTACTGTTTTTTTGTCTCAATCTTCATAGATGTTAAACGAACGACCATGGCTTTCTGATGAGTTGTACTGTCAACTTGCTAAACAAACATATTCATATAATAATAGGAATAATCAGTGAGTTATTGATTTGTTCTGCTTTTCGTTGCATATCATTTTAATTATATTCAATTAAATAACAGTAATGTTTTAAACAGTTTGTTGGTTGAAGTTCAATTTTGTCCCGAATTGATTTCAACTCTAGAACCACTAAAAAATAATGAAGAATGAAAAGCTATTTCGACTCTTTATGTGGCTCCCCTACTTACTCGACTGTAAGTCAACCTTATAGCTGTTGCAGTGAACGAAACAGAGTACTTTCATAAAATATGAAAACCATACATTAAATACTTCATTTGCAAATCTTCCATCAATTGTCCCTTACTTCATGCTTCTTCCCGTTCTCAATTCATTTATGTGTCTCCCTTTCTGTTTTCAGTTCGATCTTTTCAACCTTCTTTTGACAGGTATTCCACTTATGTTCTGTGTTACATACTACTTGTGTCGACAGATATAAGTGGCATACACCTTACTGTGGGTTCTTTCGGTGGATGCGTCACCTTTGAACCAATAAGTTAGAATTCACTAGTCCATGCATCTAGTTTACGTTAATCTGATACATAGTGCAACATCTTTCAATTCTTTTCTTCGATAAATGTCGCACGTCCGACAATAAAGAATACCTCTTACGACGTTTAATTAAAACCTAAGGAATTCATCTCTCTGAAACCAGTCATTAATTGTTATGTATGTTGCACCTTTAAGTCCGGCTAATTATCACGTGACTTATTCACCAATCGGAACATGACTTATACAATCTTAATTTAAAATTTACTTTATGACAATGTGATTTTTATCATCTAACTCATTATTGGAAATGTAGATTCTTTGAATGAAAGTGTCCATCTAGATAACTACATTTTAATTTCAATAAATATGCTGGAATACAGTGGTAAGATGCAGATACTAGTGATTTCGTGATTTATATATAACATAAAAGACATCTACAGTGTTGGTATGTTAGATATAATAACTTAAATGAAATCAGTCTTTAGAATACCTGTATTCACGAATGTTTATAACAAGTGACTAACATGTTCGCATAATGAAGATAAAATTCTGTAGACACCTAAATATTGATTTCAAAACTCGAACTGGTTATTGATCTATTTTATTCGTTACGAAAGCGAATTCGCTTGAACAGAAAAATTGATGAAACGATTGAAAATAATACTTTATTCAATATAGACATTTATGCAATACAACTGTGAACTTCATTAGTACAATTTCATGAACTGTATGAGGTTTTCTTTCCGTTCATCAGTGTTCAGTATTCAACAGTTTCCAGGATTTTTTTTCGTTCATTTATTGAGTGAATGCGATAGATAAGATTTTATTTCAAGTTATCAAAGTCTGTTTTCTGTGCCTCTTAACATTTCAAATTAACAACATAAATATAGTGAAGGTTAGGGCTTGAAATGAAATCTGAAGTGAAGATTTCACTCTTATATGCAACACTCTCTTACTACATGAAGGGGAAAATATCCTAAAATACTATATACTGAATATTTATCGAGTATCGAAAAGCGAACAGATAATGTCACACCATTGATCAAGTTAGACAACTGATTATCATTTGAATTAAAAAATCAAACTCCTCTACAAAGATTTCTCTGTTAACGTTTTCTTTCATAAAGTTAAGCTTAGATTGCTACTATTTTCATGATTAGTGATTATTTTCTCTTCTTAATTTTGTTTTTATGTATAGGGATAATTATGAACTTGTGTGGTTATTATGGAAATTATTAACAATTTTCGTTCCAACATCAGATGCGCTTAGGCCATATTTAATTAAATATATTGGGTTTCGACAGGATATTCAACACCACAAATTACAAGGTAGGCCTGTATATGGAATTTTCAATTCACTCATTTAGTGTTCAAAGATATATACATCTGAAAATACTACATTTCCTGTTGCTACAACAAATAAAGAGAATCATTTTAAACAAACTGAGACTGCTTAATGATAAAATGAAACATGTTTGCTTTTTTTTTCATTCACTCGTGAAATCTCATATGCAATAATATAAACAAGTGATTCAGAGAAACAACATTTATTGTTAGAATTATATTCGTGTCCTACGGTACATGTAAAATGCACTTCATATGCTTAGAAATTATCCTTTAATTTAAGGATGAAACACATAACAGTTTATAGAAATAAATTTTTATGTCTGAGTTGTTGCAACATAGATTAAGTAGTATTGATAACAATTATACTATCATTACAATCACGATAATTCGTAAGTGTTACGTCCTCTACTAAATTACTGCACAATACAATATACAACTAACGGCACTTGAACATATAAAACCCCACCGTCGCGAATCAGAAGACAGAAGAAAGCAAGAGATGTAATTGTTGGGTAAGAATCAAAAATGTACGGAAAAACATGTGTATTTATAGTTACTAGAGTTGGTTATAACATCATTATAATTCAGCTAATCCACAAGGAGACAATTTATGCTACCGTCAAATCATAGCATGCCACGTTGATATTCTAGAAAGGTCCATCAGGTTCCAATTGGCTGCAAACCCTTTGTCTGTTTTAGGGTTTCTGGAGGCTCCGTTGTGCCTCTCGAAAGCCATCCCAAGACCTCCCCTGAATAAGATTTCCTCCTTGGGTTCACTTGTAGCCTGACAACTGGTTTGCAGTGCCATTCTATTTTTTGTTGGCTTTCTTGTCCGAGTCCTCAACCTTCTGTTGTTTCCGGTATCGTTGGACGTGTTTGCCGTTGACTTATCTATGATTAACACTAATGGAAGATCCACCTGGTTATCTCCGGAGCACATCATTCTTTTGTCTTTTTGGGTTCGGTTCGTGCGTCTGATACATGTCCCAAAAGCTCCTCGGACTTTATACAAAAGTCTTCCCGATCTTTGTGCAATTGTTACTGGTTCCCATCGATTCTTTCTGAGGTATGACCTGACGAACACGCTATCGCTCACATTAAAATATCAGATGTTCGGATCTCGTCTGTGCTCACCCGCTACTTTAGGTGGCATCGTAGCGTCGAAGATAGTGTGGATACGTCTTTCAAACATGACTTCGGCAGGGGACTCCTCACCTGGGGTTGAGAGTAGTTCTCTAAACTGTTAAGAAGTTCATATTTACTTGACTTGTCCCCTCGTCTCTCTCTCTTTCAGTAATGCTTTTTTAAATGTGTCGACATAGTTTCCTTCCTTTTCTTTTGATCGGGAGTGATAAGGCGGAAAGCGTATATGTTTTATTCCATTAATACTGAAGAAGTGCTTGAATCTCAGCACGGATTCGAAAAGCTCGCTTGGCTTTTGCTAACTTACGTCGCCTATGGCGAAGGAGAGATATCTGTCTATCAATAAAAGGACGATTATACTGCGCGGCAGTCCGTTCTGTTTTAATTTACGGCAGCGAAACATGGCCATTAAGAGGGTTTTCCAACTCCCCTAGGTGGACTCTCCATGTCCACCAACCCGGTTAAAGTGCCGGACATTCGCTTTTCGTCCTCTCGATTTCGTAAACAACACCCCCGCCACGAGAAAACAGTGAGTAGGACTTCCCTGGCAGATGCTATATACGCATGGCCATGTGAGAGCATTTCGAGAGGGAGAGCGTACTCTTCCCACTCTCGGCCGTACCAGGGCATTTGGGGGCGCTGTGTGCTTAGTGAGTTACTCAGTTCGGAAACTGTAATCATTGTGATCGATCAACTTAAAAGTATTCTTAATGTTATTAAAAACATCATCAACAGAGCTCCCATCAAGAAACTCGACTTCTCACCCTAGATAGCGAGGCAGGGAGGAAAAGGATAGAAGCAGTCTTGTTCCCAGTGTTGGGACTGAAGTTGCAATATATTGGCTTGGTGCAATAACATGTCAACCTACTAACAGGTAGATTTTGATTGGTATATATATAATGGTAATTTTAGGATTGTAGTATCGAATCCATAGATAATTTACTAACTTTCAACTAGTCTTTTAACTGTACCATTGACGTTTGGAAAGTGTACACAAGCGAGTATTTCACTAATGACAGTGTGTTAAAAACAAAAAAATTCGAAATTCAGACAACTATGGTTCACTTAAGGAGTTAGTTGACCACAGATGCCTTAGAAATATTGCTGGCGTCTGCTGGGATCACCGGGTAAGTAATAGTGAGGCTAGGGGCAGGGTATTAAAGGATGATGGTAAGTCAGTTGATGAGGTTGTGAATCTTCATCGACTGAGATGGTTGGGCCACGTGTTACGTATGCCTGAACACCGATTACCACGACGTGCAATGCTAACCGGTGTTCGGGATGGTTGGAAGAAAGTTAGGGGCGGCCAAACCAAAACGTGGCATCAGTGCTTGAAGTCACTAACTACTAGTCTGAGCCATGTTGGTAGATGCAGACTACTCGGTTGGGGTCCGCGTGACTATCGTAACCAATGGTTGGAGACTCTTGGTGACATGGCTCAGAATCGATCACAATGGCGTCGGTGTATACACTCCCTGTCTTCCCTTAAACTAAGAGATTAAAATCGCTTCATATCTTTCTTTCTACGAACTAATTCTTTCTTCCTGTACTATATCCTTATTGCAATCTTTCTTTTATATATTACCACCTCTGAATTAACTACTTTTATGAATCCGGTGTCCATCTTGTTGTGTTAATGAGGTATGGCAACTTTTACCGATGCATATATGTGCCTGGTCCTACGTTGTAGCTGACTGACTGACTGAGTGCTTGAATGATCCCGAATTGAATTGTGGGCCACTGTCGATAACCAAGGTTTATGGAACTCCAAAATAGCTGAACAAATCAGATAACTTGCCGACCGTTTCACTGGCTGTGCAATTTGACATAGTATACATTTTTAGACATTTCGTCAATGCATCCACTGTGGCTCGAAACGTTTTTCCTTGTACTGGACCAGAGGAATCTGCTTGAAGTCTCCCTCAGGGTCTAGCAAGCTTAACTCCTGGTGCCGCAAATATTTTTGAGTTTAAGAAATATCAGGAGACAAAAATCCACCTGTGTCAAAAGAAGCAATTCATCTGTGATTGAGAAAATCTATTATTTAATAAAAATACAACTCTTTATATACTCTACTAGCTAAATTATCGCTACTATGGAAAAAATTTTTAGTAGTTTATTCTGATTGGTATGACAATAATAACGAGAGTAAAGTGAATCATAATGTGCTACATCAGTTAGCCGCCTTGAATATTGATTTCTGTATTAGCCAATTTCTATCAGAATGCATGGATATTTCTAAATATTTTACATTAAACTGAAATATTATCGAATTCCTTTTATTTTATTTTACAGCTTGCTTAGATACAATTATTCAGAATATGGAAATCGTTTCCCGTTATGGCCCTAGAAAATACTTACCACCTGATAATGTTTTAGAGTCCTTTATAGTAAGTCAAATGTATTTCTGTTAATCACTTAGTCACATAACTCTACGTTTTCATATTCAAGTGATTTCTCGGTAACGTTTACTGGTTAACCTTATCAGTTCACTTATTTTTAACTAATGAGAAAATTAACTGAATAAGTAGCATGAGAATTTTTTAGATGAAGTAACGAAATGAAGGGTTTTTAAAGCATACACTGTTACATAGATTAATAAACTTATCTTTTTAAGCAGCTTATTAATAATATACCTTACTTAAAATAATGAATTGGCCTAGTATTTCTGGAGTTAATTGTCTGTGTCTTCAGCTCTAATATCATCCATTTGGTTGAAAGTCAAGTGATGGACTTTTATCCTGTCACTAAGAAAAAAGCAAGGAAACCAAAATATTCATCTAGCAGCTTTATTATTATTGGTGGCTTTGTTCAGTGTTATGTTTTTGGTACCACATAGAATTCTCAGCACCAAGTATTCCAACACGTTTCCGTTTTTTGTCTCTTGGTCAATCCTGACGATAAATGTTGAGTGATCTCCAGTTAGATGTTAACAGTTCAGAAATCGACATCTGAATAATGCTCAATCTTTTCGATGCATATTGTCAGTCGTCATGATGTCTCTGATTGTACTTATTTGTAAATTGTACAGCGAAAACTTGTAAACTTTTCATAAGCAAGCCTGAATAGATTATGCAATTAATAAATATTATAATGTATACGAATATTCGTCAATCTTAGAACGAATAGTTTGACAAAAGTTGGGGGTCGAGTGTATGCTTAACCGATAGGATGGTATTCAACTAGCAATGGCAAGTATTCGTTAACATGTAATTGGATCCATTCTTTATCCAACCTGTTTATTTCACATGTTTCGTTATTCTGACTGAAATTAATGTAGGTTATTTTAGCAATACGATTATGTATTTAATAATTCTCATTTTACATGAACATCAATGATTCAGAAACAATTTTTCAACCTTCAACTTGCACTTTTATTTTATTTTTCTTCATATAGAGACATATCAACACCCAATTTCAACTATTAGTAACTCAATCTTGCACACATACACACACGATTCGTTCAGTCATTTATTTCCACATCGTGAACTTTTCACATGATTCGCATTTAACTGATTCGTGTTATTCTATTTACTAAAGTCAATATCCACATATAATTGGATTAGTACAGTATAGATTTGATTTGATCTGATATATTTTTAATGATTTTGATTACTACCCTGAAGTCCAGACAAGTTTGCTGAATGAAACGTTGGGATTATTTAACTTTCAATCGCTGAGATTATTTCAAATATAATTTTCCCATATAGTATTATAATTTGTTAAAACAAAGCAAAACAGAGGACTTGTTGAAATATCGAGATGGTAGGAACAGGGAGTCCAGGTATTCAAGCAGGCCGGGCGATGGATTGTTGGAAAAATATCTAAATTCTTTCAGGAATCAGATATCCTGCCCACTTTGAATGCACTTCCTCCCAGAGGTCACTGACTAGTTATTCGGTCATAAATGGTTTCACTTGATAAGCATCAGTTCTCCCCAAATTTCAGTTACATCTTACTAACGAATAGTAGCTAATACCGATACCTTCGTCTAAGAATTTTTGTTTAATAACTTTTAACCACCTAATATATAACATACAACTTAATAAAATGTATTGGAAATGCATTTTACTAGTCGAGTTCAAATTATCTTTTTTTTCTGATTTTAGGACGGTCACATGATTCGTAGACAAGAAATTTATTTTATTAATAATAATAGTACAAGTATACCACTTGGACAATTATGTCTTGTTCAAGACGTCATTCATAATGTAATCAATAAACTAAGTGCAAGTCTTCTTAGTTCACCGACTGATTTCGCATTATTTCTTTGTCATAAAAATGGGTCAATTAACAGTGAGTCAATTTCATTTTATGAACATGTCAATTTTGTTGTAATTACTACTGATTGTTAGTTTTTTCTTACTAGACTATAATTAGATCAGAGCTAAAACACCTAGCAATGCGGAACCATCAGATCTGTTCCAAGACGTATAAGTTGATTAATAAGACTGAAAATAGTCTATTTACTATCTAAACACAAACCAAATGAGAAACATCCAACAAGTAGTTTATCCGACCGTCTATAGATGATATCTCAAAGATTACGACCAGATTGTTAAAACTATGAAGAACAAATGTAGCTCACAACCCAAAAGCATTCCTCTAATTAATATCATGCTTACTGAAAATCCTGAAGAATAAAAGCCAAATATTTTCTAAAAAGCAAACTGTTTTAATTGCAAGAAACACTAGCGTGGACAAAGCCATCCTGTTCATATTCGACTGAGCAAACACCAGTAAACTGCTAAAATTACAGTGTATCTGCTAAGAAGCCAGTATATATATACATATATAATCAGAAAGGGGTTTTGTTGAGTTGATTGAAGCTAGACCACGATGGAGAACCTGGAAGCACTGAACGGCGGTTTCGTCCCAGTGTGGGACTCCTCAGCAGTGCGCATCCACGATCGTAAATATAATTTCTACTGGTAGATTTTTAAGTTGTTAAATAGAAATAACACAAACATTATCGGAAAGTTTCTAAAACCTTTGTATTCAATTCACTTTACAATCAACAAATATATTGACTTAGACTGAACCTATCAACGAGCGATAAAGACAACTACAAAAGCTGTTGCGGAGATCTGGAAAGTTCCTCAAAAAAGGCTCAGGAAACTGAGAAACATCTCATCCAATCAGCATTCAATAGAAGTTTCTCCAGAAAGACCCAGAAAGTAGAAAGTCAGTAGTCATGTTTCTGATGTGATGATTATCTATACTGCTACTATGTTTAGTAGCGTTCCAGAGATTTCCGGAAGCCCAGGGCTATCTAAAATGCTATAAATACCGTAGATTTTCCGCACATAAACGAACCTTGTAATAAAGCGTTTCTTCCACATTTCACGCCTTTTCTCTCGTGTTCAGGTTGCTGTGTAAATTTAACCTGGGAGTTACTAGAAGAGCTTAGGAACCGAATCTAGCGTTCAATTAGAAAACCCATCAAAGCATGATAAGAAATGCAAATAACAGCAGCCCAATTCTTGGGACTCATTAGTTAAATTCTATGTTAACAGAACACATTATTAACTGCTCACCTTTTTATGAAGCTTGTGCTGATAATGTTGCCTTAGAATGGTAACAAAAGCTTCACGATGAAGTCAATTAACAACACTACCAGAACTTTGCTTTGTGTTTCGCTGACTCGAAATTCATGTGTTATCTGAATATATTGAAACTACTATTAATATTTGTTAGAATAATTCAAATTAATTCAAATATATGTAGTATTATGTAATTTTCATCAAGTGAACGTCGGGTTATTGAGTTTAATCTCTAAAGTTAGTTTCTGTATTAATCGCATTTTCTTAAAGTGATTACTTTATTAGCTTGTAGTAATGAGCCGCTGATACCTTTACTACTGGATACATACATATTCGACTCTCCAATATACCATGACGATTTGATAATTCATTTTCGAAGAATATGTTGGACTGTTCCACTGGAATTGCAAAAGCTTCCTCGCGCTTATTTGGGTTTTTTATTTGATCAAGTAAGTAAGAAGAAGTCGAGTGGAATGAGTATTTTTCTCTGAAGGTAATGATATTTGTTGAGGAGCTAATATTTTCTAATGGAGTTCTTATTTTATACCAATTTATTTCTAATTAGTAACTTCTTTGGGTTTTTTTCATTATTTATTCCTTGAAAGTATCTTCTGGTCAAGGGTAATCGCTTGGTGGCGTCAGACATATGAATTAAGGATATATCCTATTGATATTTCCGATTTAGTCTGGACCTAGAGTAGGGCTAACACAAACTTTGATTAATTAAGCTGAAAATCTCTCTTAATCGACTGGATTATTTGTCAGCAATATAGCCCCTTTTTCACATGATTTTTGTTCGGATCCCTAAAATGAAAATACCTTGTATCTAAAGATGTTCGGTAAGGTGTTTGGAAGTCGGCGGCGGTAGTACTGAAACATTTAAACTTTGTCTGTCAGCTAATACTGCGCTTTATACTTTTTCTTATTGCCAAAGACATACTTTTCCACTAAATTGACTAGATTTACTATCTTCATTGGTTTGCTATTGCAATACTATTTTGCAGTGTACCATTTATAGATAATCTGTTGTTTTATACTCCTTGGTCGATTCATTTATGTTCGGTTCATATTGTGTTAATACATTCTTATTGCTCTACATAACTAATACCTACTGAGAGAGTCTTTGTCGTTCACAACTAACTCTGAAAGGAAGCGAAGTTTATTATCATAAGGACAGTGGCACAATAACTAGTGTCAAGCCATCTAGTCCCAAATTCAGACTTGAAATGTAGCCATTTATTTAAAGGAACTAGGAATGTGATCTAGCCAAATTATCGAAGAGGTCAATCACATCTTGTGCAACCATGACTGATATACTTTCTGGTGGTGTAAATCTAAACTTTCGATCGGTTCCGGTGACTTTTGAATCTAAAACAGAGTAAAATGTAAGCCTGAAATTTTTGAGGAAGAAGAATTTAGTTTTTCTTAGAATTGTTATTGATTTGTTTGATGATACGAACATGATATATTACAGTACAAACTAAAATCTTAACACACACTTTCTCATATAAGACTGTAATGTACGTTATATAACAAGAATGTTCACTTTCAGTGGCCTTCCGATTAGATACCGATAAACACGCTTCATTTACTCCATGCAAACGTGGTACGTTAATGAGAAGACCCAGAATATTTATATAGCTCTATTGGCATTCCGAATCAAAATCTACAAAACTGATTGATACATGTACATAAATGACATTGAATAATAGCATGTCTCCCTGAGCACACTAAGCTCTTGGATTCGTCTAACCTATCAAAAATGGGCTCTTGTACTCGTCTTTCAGCCACATGGTTCGTGTGAGAACTAGAAATTCTACTTGTCTCCCAAACCGAAATGGAGTTTCCTGAGGATTAACCTACGACATACAGGTTGAAACCTATATTAGTATCTAGCTGTGTATTACAAATTAATTGAATACCACTTAATTTAAAATGTGTTTTGATATTTTATTTTATAAAAAGAAACAATACTTATGTGTCTGAGTTTTTTTTGTCTTCATTATTTTACGTCAGGTCGTTGATGAGTACCTTTCGGGACACTGGTTACCGGATAAACTCACCTATGATTCAAACGAATTATATGTAAGATTGATAACATGTAGTAAATTTAAGATCACTTGTTTTAGTACTATAATGTTTACAAGTATCCTTTTTCTTATTGTAGAATAAATGTCTTCATCTCTCTTGTGTGTTACATCAAAGTCATGAATCATCTGTCTCTATTAGCAGGTGAGTGAGGACAAACAATCTCATCGATTTTTCTATTTATTAGCAATTAAATAATATTTTGATTCCTTTTTAAGGGTTATCAATAAGCTAGATGGAACAAAATTATTAATCAGGTTCTAAAAAGCAATATTATATTCTTTAGAGTTCATCCTTAATAAACATTTATACTGGCGTTAAATAAAAACTCTACTAACATAAATGTTTGTTTTAATATCCATGGCGTTTTTTTTCCTGTGATTATAAGTGACAATCGACATTGAAATTTTATTTTTATGGTGTGAAAAGGTTTGTAAGTTCGTATGTATAACATAATAATTTGTGAAACTAATCTTTGTCTCCCTTTCTAACCCAAAGAAAAAACTCAATTTCCGTTAGGTTTCACCACTACGTCAGCGAATGGATTTATATAAATACATCACATGAATAATAACATTCATATTATGATATGTGTCAGTTTACTGTGAAGAACTGTTAATATATGTAATAGCATGCCCTTTACTGAATACGCCACTGATGTAGTGGTCTCAACTCCTTTAAATTTCATAAATCAAGAATGAACTTGATTACAGAATTACTTTCTCATTTTTAAAAAATGACCAAGGAAATAAGTGTTTTCCGCACAAATTTTATATAAAAAATTTAATGCTGATTTAATACTACTTTATTTCAATAGTTGAGATCATGAATCAATTGAAGCTAGACCACCATGGAAAACCTGAAAGCACTAAAGGGCCGTTCTGTCCTATTGTGGGACTCTTCATCAGTGCGCATCCATGATCTCGCCTCGCGAGATTCGAACACAGGACCTATCAGTCTCGCGCGCGAACGCTTAACCTCTAGACCACTGAGCCGACATCTAACGGCGTTTGTTTCTACTTACTTACTTACTTACGCCTGTTTGAATAGAAGGTGAAGCATGTTTGTAGTTACTTCGATGTCTGACTTCAGTGCTCCAGCTGGTATATTGTCGGGTCCTACTGATTTCCCGCTCTTGATTTGTCTGATGGCCATTCTGATTTCCTCCGTCGTTGGTGGGTTGACATCTATAGGAAGATCTGTGTGTGCTGCTTCGATGTCCGGTGGATTCGTTGGAGCCGGCCTATTCAGGAGTTCCTCGAAGTACTCTACCCATCTGTTCCGCTGTTCTTGAATTTCGGTGATTGGCCTGCCTTCTTCGTCCCTTACCGGTCTTTGTGGTCTATTATATTCCCCTGCTAGTTTCTTCGTTGTATCGTAAAGTTGTTTCATATTTCCTTCTCTTGCAGCTTTTTCCGCCGTCATTGCTAGTTCTTCCACGTACTTCTTATTGTCAGCTGTAATGCTCTTCTTCACTTGCTTGTTTGCTTCTATGTATTCAGCTTGTGCTTGAACTTTCTGTGCTCGTGTTCGGCTGTTGTTAATTGCTGTCTTCTTGTTCTTCCTTTCTTTGATCTTGTCCAGTGTTTCTATGGAGATCCATTCCTTATGATGGTGCTTCTTGAGGCCCAAAACCTCTTGACACGTTGAAGTTAAGGCTTCTTTGATACCTTTCCAGTTGCCCTCCATACTAGTTTCTTCTTCCTTCAGTAGATCCTGTAAGGCTTGGAACCTGTTGTTGAGAGCTATCTTGAATTCATTGAGTTTGTCAGTATCTCGAAGAAAGGCTGTATTGAACCTTTGTAGTTCTGTTTGTCCACTTGTCCAGTTCTTCTTTAGCTTCAGTTTTAAATTGGCCACAACTAGGTGGTGATCTGAAGTTACGTCAGCACCTCTCCTGGTTCTCACATCTTCCATTGTCCTTCGGAATTTTTTGTTGATGCAAATATGATCTATTTGGTTATCTGTAGTGTGGACCGGTGAGATCCATGTAGCCTTGTGTATACGCTTGTGTGGAAATATTGTGCCGCCTATGACCGATTTGTTGAAGGCAAACAGATTTGCAAATCTTCCCCCATTTTCGTTTCTCTCTCCCAGTCCTTGTCGTCTCATGATATCTTCATATCCGGTGTTGTCTATTCCAACTTTGGCATTTAGATCTCCCATCAGAATGGTGAGGTCGTTTCTTGGGCACTTCTCGACGATTGACTGTAGCCGCTCGTAGAATTGATCTTTAATGTCGTCGTTGCTATCATTGGTGGGGGCATAACATTGGATAATATTCATTAAGATTCCCTCCTTCTTTGTTTTGAATGATGCTTTGATGATTCTGGATCGGTGAGATTCCCATCCTACAAGTGCATTTCGTGCTACTTTGGACAGCATAAGAGCGACTCCCTGAGTGTGTGGAGCATTTTCCTCTTCGTGACCGGAGTATAGCAGCATCTCTCCCGTATTTAGCCCTTGTTGTCCAGCTTGGGTCCGATGGGTTTCGCTGATTCCCAGTACTGCCAAGTTGTATCTCCTCATTTCCGTTGCTATTTGACTGGTCTTCCAAGTCTCCCACATTGTTTGGACGTTCCATGTACTTATAAAAATTGTTGCTCTGGTTGTTAGAAGGGGCATCGGCCTCGTGGCTTCGGAAGGAACTCGGTTTTCACCATGAAGCGTCATAATTCTTCTAAATGAAGACCTTCTAACTTTCAAGGCAGAGTTTAAATGGTTTAAATAATTTTTATGGTAAGCGTTTTTTAGCGAGTTAGTTTTCTACGGGATGGGTTCGCTAACCCCATACCCAACCCTCCTTCTTTACCCGGGCTTGGAACCGGCAGTAACTCGAGGAGAGCTACAGGCGGAGTTGCGTTTATGTCTAACTTCACTTAATCCACGAAATCGAGCGACACATCCGCCATTGTCTTCAGTTAGTTACTATCTCACAACAGACCTGGTTGAACTCCACTAGTCACTGCTTCTCACTAGAACTCCAAGACATGCCTCTTAAAGCCAGTCACTAGTGAGCGTATGTTGACTCATGTCAGAAAGGAATTTTGTGAATATTATAGTAATTTCAATAGTTCAGATGATGAGTCAGTTGAAGTTATTTTATTTCTAAAAAATATATCTCCTTTCAGTACAATTGCTACTTCACTTAAACCAAAAAATCTACAAATTTCAATAGAAAAATGGTCATCAGAATTAAATGGATTACTTAAGTCAACACAAACAAAAGATTCAGAAGATAGTCAGAAAATCTTTTTATGTAAGCAAGCCCTTTTCGATTTGGGTTTTTTTATTATGGTGCAAATTGGATTTAGAGATATTATCATTATAGGAATTAATTTTTATCATATAACCCCACAAATTATTCTCATACGATGAAATCTTGAAATTTTATCAGCACAACCCTTTATATCTGTTAGCAGACATAAAATAAGCTTATATGGACAGTTGGCTATTGACTCATAAATAATACAGTCCAGAACTGATATTTTGCACGATTGTACTGTTTACAGGTAACCCAAACCGTCATTTACGTGGAACACTACTTGCTGAACATCATAAATAGGATCTTACTAATGTTTATTACTGACAAAGAATAATTTTAATCCATTCTTTTCACCTACTAACTGAATGTTTGTTTATTTTATGGATTATATTAGCTTCAATCAGAAATTGGCCTCTTTTTGGATCATCTTGTTTTCTTGGTTTGATTGAAAACGGTCCATCTGGAATCCCAACTAATTGTGAGATATTAGTTGCTCTATCTCATACAGGAATTCATATATTAGATTCTTCAACTCATGAATGCTATTTGGTTTTTGCCTACGAAAATATTGCAAGTACAAGGGTAAAATATTTTCAATCTCTATTTATCATTTATTTGTGTTATTTATTTTCGTAGTTTTGGGAAGTCTTCATAATTTTATTGATTAATTTCATCGTAGCCATTGAAAACTATTGAGCCTTAGAGAGCTGCTATGTCTCGTTTCAAAATTTCCCAACAGTACATTTTTACAATCACACACATAAGAACGGACTCAATAGTAATATTAATAATAATGGCTTCATTCGAATCTAGTAACTTGGTTACAATACATGATTCCCAGCTATCGGAAGTATTTCTTCATCTAATATATTTGTCTCATTTCCTCAAATGATAGATAAAAACGAAAATATCCCAAAAATTGCCGAGTTTCTGTTTGCATTTTTTAGTATTTATGATTACTCAGTTCAAGCAAATGTAAAACAGGTAAGTTAATGAATACAATACTTGTACAGTTAGAAGAATGCAACCCAAACATTTGAGGAAACCACTATGTTCTCAGATCCCTCAGTTAGCACCATATAAACTGTTATGTAAGACTTTTCCCTCGGATCCACCTGAAACCTGGTTACCGTATTCCTCTTGCGGTCCATCACTCTCGAAGGTTGTGCAGCTTTACCAGTGTGTCTTTTATCTCTTCTACATTCGCACTCCTAAGGGTTTTCCCGAGATGAATCCATAAGCAATTGAAACGGGAGTCGGCTTTGTGGGACCAATGTTCTGCCGTCCCTTTGAATTTGGTTTATGTGTCTCATACACGTTCCGACATTTCTCCAGACTATGTACAGTACATTTCCGATCCGACGTTCCATGACACCTAGTTCCCACTTCCTATTACCTTGATACAAAATTGTTTTCTAAAAATTTCAGCTCATCGAAATGAAATTAAATTAAATTTGTTCCGAACATTTCTCATCAAAACCTTTTAATATAACTTACGTGAATTAAGACAAAAGAACTACTATGAACAAATTAAGTGCTTAACCACGATGTAATAACCTGTTTACAGCCTAACTGAACCAGTATTAAACCAACTGAATAACTTGCGAAATAGAACAATTTGCTATTTTTTGACCGAAAAACTTGGAAACAAAATAAACGAAGTGGTAACTAACTGAAAGCCTTCTAATAATCACATAGTTTAGATAAGTGAAAGTCGAATAGGGAAATATGAAACAATAATCTCTACTAAATTCAAGGAGTGACAGAACTCGTTTCATCCCAGCAATCACATCTAATTTTCAGTCGTGAAATTAAAAAAATGACCAAGTGAGGTGAATCATCTTTCTAAAAGTAAAATATGATTTAGTTTATGATAAAAAAGTGTACGTAAAATGTCAGAAAAGCGAATTTCTCTTTCTCATTATGACTTTTGTCATTTCTCTGACCTTTGGATTTACCCGCTCATTCACTTGTATACGTCAGATTATGGTAAATTATTCGTCAAACAGACCTGTGATGTCTTATGGATTTCAGTCAAAAAATTTACAAAACTCAAATGATTTATGAGTTTGTCAGTTACCCGTTTAGTTTTGCCTGACTAACTGCTTTTGGAACCACTAGCTTATGCTACACTAGAAACCATTTGAATATTTGTTAAGTGCCATCCAAACTAGCTATTACATCTTTATGGTCCTACTCGTATGTCCACCAATCATTCATAAATTTGTTAATTTTATTTCAAAATTTACTACTTGTTATGCCCGAACCAAAAATAAATGAATGGTAAATGCTAGGAATTATTCATGGACTCTTATTACATGTATTCTTAACGGATAATTAATAAGTATCTAGATCATATATATTTATATTCCTTGTATCATAGGTTTTCATTTGACCCATTAACTACTGTTATACACTTTACCGTTCTTGATTTATTCTCAGTCTGTTAGTTACACCCTCCAATACTCACAGCTACTTTTGGCTTGATCTTGTGCAATTATTACTTTTCATTTTATGATATGATGCCATCTGATAATACGTTACTTAAATAGCGTTTTTCTATCACGGTTGTTTTCTGCGGGGTGGAGTTGCCGACCCCACTCCCAACCCTCCTCTTTTACCCGGGCTTCGGACCGTCAGTGTAGCCCTAGAAGAACTACAGGATGAGTTGTCATCTGGTCTGCTTGTACGTTAACTACGTATGTCTGAAATGTATTATTCATAAAACGGAGGCTGATATTTATTTTCTGAATTGAACGGGTTTGGCTAGATCAGAGGCTACTCAATTGAGGGCCAATGCAGATTGAGAGTTGACTCAGGACTACTTGTGCTTGCTGACGTGTCATTGGTTTAACACAGGAAAAAGGTCATAGGAGTGTATATTCTGATTGTGGACTTTGTGACGTGATATTTGACGCGCCATAGGACATAACACTACTTATTAATGCAACTTATTTCATTTACGCAGTACAATTTTATGTACTCAACATTAGACAACAATGTTTTTGTTATGGCTAGCGATACCACGCGACTGTCGCGACCAAAGTGGGTATAATCGAGTTCAAATCTGTCATCTAATTTTGGAAATTAAAGTACTTCAATCACTAAGCCATCAGTCCAAATATCTGACTTGCACTAAAACTTATGCTAAAATACTTGTAGTCAACTCACTTTGTCAACTTTAAATGACTATATCTTGCAACAGTTCAGATCAAATTACATATATTCGCTTCATGGGTTTGTTAGATTTTTATTTTGTATGCGTGAACAAAGGTAGAAAACGTTACCTCTATTCATTTTTCTCTTAGGTTACATATAAAGATAATAATGACTACAACTGTATTGGTTCTGTGCGTCTTACAGCTAGTAACGGTCAACAGTTGATCCTGTCTTTAATGCAAGTATGTAAAACTGGTTTACAGTTTATTTTTTTACCATGTCTATGTTCATTCTGCCAAATTTATCATCCTCATTAATAGGCATTCCCCTATGTAGGTCCCCGAAATGCCCTAGTATGGCCGAGAGTGAGGAGAGTCAGATATCACTCTCGAAATACTCTCACATGGCCACGTGTATCCAGCCACTGTCAGGGAAGTCCTACTTACTGTCTTCTCATGGCGAGTCTGTTGTTCACGAAAATGAGAGGACGAAAACCGAATGTCCGACGCTTTAACCAGATTCCAAACCAATGGTGCACATGGGCTCCAGTATCCTGTGGGAACAAATGGCGTATAAACCAATTGTTGGTCACCAGCTACCATGGGGCTATATCTCCTCACGTTTCTCCACTGCCTTGTGGATCAGACCTCTTGGTCGAAAGCTCGGGGTGTGGCCCCCCGAGAAAATCACATCTCTTGGTTTGGGCACCCGGGCAGTATAACAGCCCTCCCATAAATCGAATAATTTATGTGGCGCATATGTATTCGGTGCTCCCTTGTACCAATATTTATGTGTTTAAATAAATGAATAGGCATTCCCATCACTTTTAATTTTTAACTTGATTTTACCATAAAAATGTATTAACTTAATCTCATTAGTTTGTACCAAGTTACTTATCGTCCTTCGACTGTACTCTTTGTATATCCAACAATAAACTAATGATATAGAATGATCATGTTTGTTGAAGCTCTTCAAGATTTTACAATCATATATTCGTAGAAATTCGTCATTGTTAGAATCGACTCTTCAGTTCTCAGTGTTGTAATCAGATATTTAAGAAACAACTAAATCAAAGTCTTTCCCCTGTTATACAACATCTTGAGACTTTGATATGATCATGTTTAGCTTGACGATATGAAGCTTATATTTATAATTCCAATAATCCGATTCAAATGCTCCTAAGAAGGTTTAAATACGATCTTCAGCAATGTATTTTTCCCTAGATTTTGATCAGTGTTTTTCTCTAATCAACTGATTTCATTTCACCTGACTTCGTAAAAAATATGTCTCAATAGATGAAGTTATATAAACGTTTCCATTTTTTATTCCTATTTTTTATTTTAGGCTAGAATGTTTGTCTTCATTTTAAGTCGATATCAGTATATACTATCAGCAAATTTGTTAGCTTCTGCTTGAACTATGTTGGAAGCTAGACACCTCACCAATATCATACAATCCGTAGATATAATTGCAGATATGAAGTAAAAATTACTCGGTATTCAGACAAAGACTTTTGTTTTGTATTTACTCATGAGAAAAGGGAGAGAATCTGTGACATCTTTGATACACTTATCTTCATTGTGGGAAAATGTGTTCATTTATTGCATAGTTCAAACTTCATATTCATTTAATTTGACAATAATCATGTATAACTTCAATTATTTTTACAATGACAAAGAAAAATAATTATGATCGACAACTAACTAATTCTTTCCTCAAAACTCTTTAGATTCAATTTTATCAGTCAAAACATTATATGAAGATTATAATAATTTCATATTATTGATTATGTTTATCGTGAGTGACGTTTTTGAATTATTTCCTCATAATGGGTCAACTTTTAATCAGTATTCGGGAATGCATGCATATAAGGTCTGTAATTCTCAGTAATTGAAAGCGTCTGTTCTTTACTTTTTCAGATTTTCTCAGGCAATAAATTCGACAACTTTTGTTGAATCATGAAACAGTTTTGTAATTGTTCCAGTTCGTTCCTAAACCTTTGATCACCAGCATATAGACCTACGCAGATGAGTTCCAGAATATTATTAATCATCCACGAGACAAGATTAATGTCACCCACTATCCCAACTTGTATAATTCCATTGCTTGTTGTTATGTCATAAATATGGATATACTGAGTCTATATTTCAAACATAACTATTCACTATCAGATGATCGGACGGTTTTCTGATTACCATGTGAGATTAAGCCAACTAAATGGCAATAGGTTTCAGCAAATAGAGATGAGTTGTAAGATATTAGACAGTCATTTTAGGGAGCATTTTGACGATTGACGAGGTGATTTTTACTAAATGAGAAACAAAGCAAAGTAATCACAAATATTTCAAAAATATTTTCCTTACACAGTGCTTTGCCACAATTCCAAGTGAAATGTTACTTAGAGGAAAATGGTTATTAACTATAGCAGTCTCTATAATCTGAGGACTCATCAATTGAAACTAACATGAAGTGACTAAAGTATATGTCAAACCTTCGAGCTGTTGGTCAATAACTTTAATTTCGATTCATGGGACTTGATGATTTAAGTTACTCCATAGGATGATATATTCAGTCTTGTCGATCAATCGACGTCATTTTTGAACTTTTCATTACTGATTTAGACTGGTCAAAAGTGTATATCGTCATCTAATTATTAGGTGTGCCTAGAAATAGGTCTAACGTCCTAGTTAGACATTCCTTCTGCTTAGTGAGACGCGACATAGAGGGCGAAGTCACACTTTTTGTCTACTATCTTCATTTTTCTGTTCAGTATCCTTCACTGTGTTAATCCACTCGGCGATGCCATTATTAATATCAAGATGTTTATTCACAACATTGTGTAACGAAAGTACATGATGAGATAAACTTCACATCGTAATTATTATAAATTTCAGCCAGTTGTTCCGCCTCTAACCATGTTTATTATCAATTTTTGTAGGTCTAACAAGTCTACTTTTATCGTAAACTTTAAATTAGTTAAGATTATTAGGTGTGATTAAACGCAGATAACCAAAGCAGCCTGCATTCTGACGGCTCAGTAAGACACTTCCACCATTCATCAGACCAATCTATGACTGGATCTGTTAGGTAGAATATTACCTCTTTTCCAATATGAGTCAAAGAATTTCAGTCGAAAATGCTAATAAAAAAATTTAAGGCAGTCAAAAGATTCTAAAAACAATAGTTCAGTTCATGTTCTTGCAAATGTGATCTCAACAATAATCAATTTCTAGTATCAGTTCTAAAATCCGTTGGAAACAACAACCTCTGATGAATTACTCCTAATTATTGTATTCACAGGTATATGAATTGTAGTATGAACTAACAATCCCAGAAATAACGCAATTGAATCAAGAAGTATGGCATAAGCACGAACGAATGTATTGTATCTAGAATTCGAAATCGAGCATTCAAAAAGTACAAAAGAATCATTAGCTCGTTCAAAAACCATATCCGCCACAGTTTAAATTGGAGTCTAGGTGTTTGTAATCAATCGTACGTCGTCTCCTCAAATTCATCCTGAGTCTGTCCAACATTGTATTGGATAAAAACTCTGCATTATCTAGAATGCACTCATTAGTATTAGAATTAACGATCGGAATTGGAACTGACTCACCTGGTTCCTGAAATTTTATTTGATCGACATGTCGACTGTGTGTACTTAAGTCATTGATGTCTAGAATTCGCACCATCGACTTTCCGACATTCTTTAGAACAATACACGTAAATGGTCGAAGATCGTTTCCTCGACAGTATGTAACTTCTGCAGACTCCAAAGATCTCATATTCAATCGAAGAATTCTTCCTTTCAATAGCTTTGATGGAGTCTCCTTCGTCACTGAATGTCTGGCATTTCTATATTGCAGTAGAATGGTATCTACTCCGCGCTCCAGCTCATTAAATGTTGAGGCGGCTATAGAATCAATAGCAGTCTTTAATGTCCTGACAAAATTTTCTGCCTGACCATTAGAACACGGATGTCTGGGAGCAGTAAACAGATGTTTGCACCCTATGCCATTCAAACAGGTAGTGACTGCATCTGCAGCAAAATGAGAACCATTATCAGCCAGTAACACCATTAAAACCCCTTCTCGACCAAACATCTTTCTTAATGCTTGGATTGTGAAATCAGAATTCGATGAAGTTGTGAAAAAAATTCACCAAATTCTGATTTCGAGAATGAACGAGGGGAAAATATATATATATATATATCCAGAAACACGAAAAAATATCACAATGTATAAAAAATTAAAATAAGGCAATGATTTACAGAATCCTAAAAAGGAGCAGACTCATAGTTTACGATTTGGTGTACAAGTTCACGTCGGGTTCACCACTTAAGATGCTACAGGTATTCAGAGTTTGACAACGCTTTAACCAGTAAGACCTTCTAATATGAATCGTACCCACCAAGTAAAATCAGAATACAGAAGCAAGGAGGTTCAAGGATATATTTGATAGGCTATCAATATGTCGAGAATCGTTTGATCTAATCTGGCTAGCGATTGCAGGGGATGTTGAGCACGGCGTTCCCACTCGTGATCTGGTGCGGATGCATGACCGCGCTCCTTCACCTAGGTGAGTCCATTGAAACTAATGTGATCAGCATCTAATGTTGGAAACTTACAGAGCTATTTATTTTAGGGATTTATTTACCGCTACAGACCACCACCCCCCTAGTGGGCTGGTGATGACCCTAAGACATGGTCAGCCAGAAGTTTAAACTCAACGAGTTTTGTCGTTGGTAAACACTCTTCTGATAGCTTGCTAGGTTTAGCAGCGTCTGGTCGTCTTTTCTTACTATAAGAGACTATGAAGTACAATATAGTGAAAATTTTTGGTTACTCGTAAACCTCATCGTTCTTTTTATCGTCTTTTCCTGCCGTCCTGGAAAAGAAAAAAAGAGTATGTAAGTGCATGTCGAAATAAACTCGTATACGCTTTAAGACACGAAATGGGCGAAAAAGTGTAGATAACGTAAAAGCGAATTTTACAAAATGTTTTTATTTTTTTTTAAATTTTTTAATATATATATGATAAATGATAAATATATATAAATATAAGCATATAAAATTTTTTTATATTATATATAATGCCATGGAAAATCGAGATGAAATGAAATGTTAACTAGTATCTTATGTGCAATAGTCATTTAAATGTTCTGGAAATCTTACTCTTCTTCCAGAACGCATTATTTTAAGTTTATTTTCAGATACTTTCGAAGTATCATCGTACGTGTTGGTTGTCGGATGAGGTATTATAGGTTTCGGAGTCGTGTCGTTCGATTGTACCGAAGGAAAATCGACGTAGATAGGATTTCCTTCTAAATACTCTGCTTTGAAGCGATCGATGCTGATGCTATCGTTGGTTCCGTTTTTATCCATTATATAGTACCAAGGTTCGCGTTGAACAACTTTGAAAGGTCCTTCGTATGCTGATTCGAATGGTCGTCGATGCGAGTCTCGACGTACAAAGACGTGTGTACTATATCATAAGTCGGGTTGAACGAAAACATCAGTTGATTGAGGTCGAGTGGAAGCAGGTTTAACTGAACGCATTGCATTTGTAAGCTTGTTCGCGTAGGATGTTAGATCCATGTTCATTGAAGAGGATGGAGGATCCACGAATTCTCCTAGGAGTCGAAGTGTCGTTCCATAAACGAGTTGAGCCGCAGTGTATCCAATGTCAGCACTCACTGCACTGCGAATATCTAGTAAGACGAGTGGAAGAGCGTCAGTCCACTGTGAAACGTTTGCAGCTGATAGTGAAACTTTTAGTTGTCGGTGAAAGCGTTCTAACAACCCGTTTATTTATTTATTTATTTATTTGAACACATAAATATTGTAACAAGAATGCGCCAAATATATATGCGCCACACAAAACAATGAGAATTTAAGGGGAAGGGAAAAAATGAGAGGATAATAACGAAGAGATTGATGTAAGGTGGTGTAATAAGAATGATAAAAATGGTGGAACGGAGAGGTACAGTCAGAAGAAATCTTTCAGTTAAGGAAGAAACAACCACTTTTATGAAGAAAGTAAAAGAAAGTAACAGCACGATCGCCACTGGCTTTTATTCTGAACCATCTCTCGGACCTCAGACAGGGAGTCGTGAAGGACCAACACAAGTCAGCCCTTTGCAGCTTTCTTTCATGCCACGACACCATGTCATGCACTGACCACCTCTCCGCTTCTTCCAACCAGTCCCAGAGTCGGCAAATAATGCACGACGTGGAATTCTCTGGGACGACATTCGGAGAACATGTCCAAGCCACCGAAGTCGGTGTTTCAAGATGGTGACACCAATTGAGTTATCATCTCTGTGCCCGAACACACGATGCCGAACCTCTGCATTACTAACATGGTGTTGCCACTGGATGTCAGCAATCCTTCGGAGACAACGATGATCAAACACG